AATTTCTATTTGGACCAATTCACAGTTTATCATAAAATAAATAAGTTGAATTCAAAGAATATATTAAAGAGAATCTAGCCAAAAACTTCATACATTATTCAAAATTTCTAATAAGAGTTCTAATTTTATTTGTAAAGAAAAAAGATGGATCATTGTGGATGTGTGTTAATTATTAAGGATTCAACAAGATCATTATCAATAAAAGGTACCTTTTATCTTTGATATTTGAACTTCATAATTAGTTGAATCAAGTTAAAATCTATACAAAAATAGATCTAAGAGTGGCATACAATTAAATATGCATCAAAAAAAGAGATAAATAAAAGACTATATTTCAAAATAAATATAAATATTTTGAATATAATTTCATGTCTTTTGGACTTACAAATATATTAGTAGCTTTTCAATATCTAATGAATGATGTCTTTTAAGAATTTTTTAACAATTTTATACTCTATTCATTAAATATTAACTTAATTTATTTTAAGAACATAAGAGAATATGAACTTTATGTGTTGTTATGTATTACAAAAACTAAAAGATATAGGACTCTATACCTAGATAAAAAAAGTGTATATTTTCCACTATTCAAGTTGATTTTTTAGAATTCATCATTTCAATTGATGAACTTATAATGAATCTTAAGAAAGTTCAAATTATTATGGATTAGAAGATTCCAAAAATGATAAAAGATATCTAAAGTTTTTTAAAATTTGCCAAACTACTATTAGATCTTCATCAAGGATTTCTTTCAAGTTGTAGCTCCATTTACACATTTGACTTGTAAAGACAAATTTCAATAGAATCAAGAAGTAAAAGCAATATTTGAAGCTTTAAAAATAGCCTTTGTTTTTTTACCAATCTTATATTAAGTCAACTTTATTAAGCCATTTTTTATGAAAATAGATGCATCACACTTTGCTTTAAGTACCGTATTGTAATAAATAAGAACAAATGATGAACTTCACTCAATAGCCTTTCATTCTAAAAACTTTTCAACAATCTAGATCAACTACAAGATCCATGACAAAGAAATTTTTGCAATTATAGATTCATTTCAAGAATGACACCATTATCTAGAAGGTGCTTCTAATCCAGTTACAATATATATAAATCACAAGTACCTTGAATATTTTATATCAACACATATTTTAAATCATTTTTAAGTCCATTGGAGCATCTTCTTATCAAGATTTGAATTTAAGATTATTTATCTATTAGAATAAACAACAAGGTTTATTATATGCATTTTTTAGACAATCTTATTTTGTACCAAAGAAAAGAAATGTCATTTTTGATCAACAACAGATAACTCTTTTGAAGCCAAAGCATCTTTATTTTCAAGCAATGAAATCAATATTAATTTTTGATTCAAATTTCTTTAAGTAAGTTCAGTCAAGTATGTCTTTTGATTCTCTTATTCATGATATTAAAGAAAATCTTTCGAAGTCTTATGATACTTATAAGTTTGAATTCAAGAATGATTTATTCTATTTCAAAGAACATTTACATGTTCCAAAAGATGAAACTCAATTACATATTCTTCAAGCTTGGCACAACTTTTCAGTAGCAAGACATTTTGGATATAATAAGTATTTGCAGCTAATATCCAAAGATTTTTGGTGGCTCCAAATGTAAGAAGAAATCAAAGATTTTATACAATCCTATGATATTTGCTCAAAATCAAAAACTCTTCATCATCAGTCTTACAAACTTCTTTAGCCATTATCCATTCCAAAATAACCATGGTCTTTTATTTTTATGGATTTTATCATTGATCTTCTAATCTCTAATTCTTATGATTCTATATTTGTAATAGAAGATCATTTCATCAAAATAGCATATTTTATATCATATACAAAATCTATTATAAGTAAAGAAACAACTACGCTTTTCTTTGATAACATCTATTACTACCATGATTGCCTAAAGATATTATATTGATTAAAAGAACTTAGTTTATATTAAGATTTTAGAAAATTCTTTTTAAAATTCTAAAAATAAATATAAAACTATTTTCGACTTTCCATCCTCAAATTAATGGATAAATAGTGCATTTAAATTAAGTTTTGGAGTAGTATTTGAAGTATATCATTAACTATCAACAAGATGATTAGAAAACACTTTTATCATTGGTAAAATTTATTTATAATAATATGATATATTCTTCTATACAATAAATATATTTATTTGCTAATTATGATTATCATCTAATATTTGATGTTTTTGAGTGTTTAAAAGTTGATAATCCTATAGCAAAAGATTTGGCAAATCATTTATCTGAGCTACATACAACAATAAAGGTGCAACTAAAAGAAACTCAAGAACAAGAAAAAAGCAACACAGATGCCTATTGCAAGGAACAACCTCATTTCCACATTGATAATAAAATATGATTACTTCATTATAATATTAAAATTATTCATCTTTGTAAAAAGTTGGATTACCGCAAAATTAGACCATTCTTATTTCTAAACAAGTCAATTCAATTGCTTATTGATTATATCTATTGAAGTCTATAAAAATCCATTTTATATTTTATGTATTTCTTTTGGAGCCATATCAGACAATGAATATCCTTAGAAGAAGACAAATACCACCACTTCTTATAAAAGTGGATAATAATCAATAATTCAAGATAGAATAAGTCTTATATTTGAGGCGGCATTGATTTAGGTTGAAGTAACTTATTCATTAGTATAGATATGATATTAGCAAATTTATATAGGAGCTAGCAAAAAACCATACAAATACAACAGAGTAGGTCAAAGTTTTCCATCAACAACATCCATCAAATCTAAAATGAAGCATAGCAAACCTTTGCTATCAAAGAAACACAATTTAAGAAAGATTGCATTCTACCTTCTATCTTTGTTTATAGTTTCTATATAATTGTGGCATTAAGGAGATGAAAAACCAACAGCTAGCAAATTCAACTCAAGAGCCATCATTTGTAGACTTATTAGAAGAGACATTATAATTATTAAAGCCTTTAAGACGATGTAATAGGGATGAAGATCTTTAAGAATGACATGCTTTTCTTCAAATAGATGGCAAAATAAAATGTGTTTGGTATCACAACTTGGAAAGAGAGTCTTGGTGTTTGGTAATTTATTAGTGATAAGAACAACATATGATGGTATTACAAATGTTTTGTTTAAAGAAAGTTACGAAGGTCTCAACAATGAGCAAAAAATAAGGTGGTCTTTTTGCCTTAGAATAGAATATTACTGATTCTTAAGAAGACCTATCAATTATCTTTGAAGGGAACAAAGATTAGAATATGTAACAAAAACAATTTGCCTCATTTTAAACTTCTTCAATATATGATTACTACTCCTCATAGAACTTGTTCCTAGAATAGAATCAATGTTACGAACATATATTTATTGTAATTGTTTTCTAGATAATATGAATAGGTAGAAGTAGGTAAATATAGATTATTTTTATAATATCTTCTAAAGAAGTATTTTAGAAGCTTCATAGATGTTACTTTGACTTTACATGTATTTGTAATTAATTGGTAGGTTAGAAACTTGGTTAATATGTTAACCATGTGCTACACAAGTCAATAGCTTATAAGACAAGCTAATTATATGGCACCTATACAAAAAACTTATTTTATAAGTTATAGTATGTATTCTGCAAAGTGAACACGTTTTGAAGATCATATAAAATGCCGCCACATAGCTCCAAGGTAGATAGTATATACAAAGGTAAAAAATAAAGCCTTCTTTATTCTTGTCAATTCTTTTATTACCTCTAATCTAGTTTCAAGAAGTCCCTAGTTTTCTTGTCTTTTGACAATATGCATTCTAGTTTCTTTTTAATACACATACCTCTTTATTTCTATTTTGTCATACTTCTTTGAGAAAGTCTCACTTGTTTATTTGTTTTCATTGAGATCTTGTCCTTGACAACATACTAGCATAGAGTGGCGAAAGGTCACACATATTAGTTGGAATTATCAATGCCAAGATTCAAGCATAGAACATAAAGAGACAATAGTATTTGAGGTGTCTTGTTCAACACACATTGTTGCTAGATTTAGGTCTAAGATTGGACGGAATTGAGTCATATATTGATTTGCAACAAGCACCTTTGCTATGACCTTGCATTGATCCGGCAAATAGAACATCTAGTATAAATAATGAGATCGGTTTGTATTTCATCACACCTTCCAACATATGACTCATTCCTCATAAGCGGCTCTCATTTTCTATTTAAAAGCCCATTTCAAAATTACATTATCCCTATACAATCCATGTTGTAATTGCAACAATTGTCCATTTACTCAAACCTCACAAGTTTGCAAGACATTTTGATACCTTACATGTTTCTTATGTAACCCCATTGTAAAGAGAGATCTTAAAAGAGTCATTGGAACAGGACTAGAAGATAGAAGATTTACAAGATAGGATTTAGAGATGAGCAAAAACAAGGAAGAATTGTGGTAAAAATTCCACTTGAAAATGGTAGATCACTTACAACTAGATATTTGAATTTTAGTTGCCTCATCCATACATTATCTGTAGATAGCACAGAATTAGACGAAGTTTGATAGCATAATTAGATGCCACATCTCTTGATTTTGTAGTAATAGGAGATTTCTTGATTTTGTAGTAATAGGAGATTTCTTGATTTTGTAATCCACCACCAATCAAAATTAGATCAGCATATATGTTGGATTTGGATCTAAGAAAATCTTCAACCAAAGTATTTATATAAATTCCCTATTTTAGCAAAATTGAGTAAAAACTTCAAATTAAGTAGCTAAATTTCAATTTTAAGATAAGTGAACTGATCGGACAAGAATTGGAAGGTGACTTGAAACGTGCCTACTTGTGTAGATAATGCAGTAATAGTAGTTCATTGAACGTCGCATATCATTGACATCTACAAATTTGGTGAACTTCTGATTGCTTGACAACTACTTGCAACTATTTGTCTCAATTAGATTGCTGTAAATGGTATATGACCCTAAATCAAGAGCCATGCAATACCTCGAGACTTCAAGTTTAGCATTTCCTCAGTCATAAAAAACTTGCAGTTACATAAATTGCTTTACAGGAATTTACGGCTGACAGCTGCCAGGATCATTTGCATTCTACTCTAAACTTACAAGAACTGATGCCAAAATCTTCGTCAGACGCGAATTTGCTGGGTTCAGAGCAGTCTATTTGAACTACAAAACTGGAGTTCATGCTGATGATCCAATATGGTGCCCATACTAGCATCAAACGTGAACGGCAAACCCAACATGTAAAGCTTCCGATAGGACCATGAGAGCACAGTACGCAACACCAAAAACTCTAAAGCTTCATAAATAGCAAAAGCGAGTCCAGTCCACCCTGAATCCAGTCAGTCTGCTTCAGCTAAATTCGATTTGAAAAATAAAAATAAAAAATAAAAACAGCTGGAATAAAGTTTGCATGACGTTGGCAACACGCTCACCTCACCAGCCTGGAATATGGGTACCTACTCTCTCGCATCAAATGCAGAACAAAAATAGAGAAAAGCGACTTCGCTGTCCAGCAACAAGTTGCTAAACAAGATAAAGTTGAGAGTTCCTGGATCAAGTAGCCAAGGACCAATTGATAAAGAGGAAGGCAATGCACTCGACTGCCTCACTGTCGTTTAGAACTTTCCATGCCAGGGCTTGCTCGTAGGTTGCAGTTCGACCTGTGCTGGACATGCGCACTCCTGCAGGAAGAGAGCAGTAACCCTGTTCCACAAGCATTAAAATTGTTAGTGAAAACAGCACATAAGGGAAAAAAGAAGAAAGAAAATACAGTGGTTCATAATTATAAATAAGAAAAAAATAAAAATGAGAACAAACAAACCATAAAACCAGGTGTACAATACCCTCCAAATGACGAAATTCAATGAAAAATGCTAAGGAAAAAAACCTGTTGCAAAACATGAGTAAACGTGGCATATGATAACTTGCGGTCGTTCTCGTTGAGAGTCTTTTCCCAATCTAAATCTTTCAGGGAGCTAGCTGTCGCAGTTTCGAACATTTCAAGGCCTGATCGATTGGCAAACACAAACTCTGGTATTCCCTGAGAGAAAAAGAAAAAAAGAAAAAAAAAACACAGTTTCCAATTCTCAGCAAAAGAAGGTACCATTCAAGGTGGTTCAACAAATACGCAAAATTTGAAGTCAACGGAAGTGAAAGTTTGAAGAGTTAAGTCTTCATCTGCTAATCTGACATGACGACAGAGTGGACACCAAAAAACTACCTTCAATGCACAGCACACGATGGCATCTGTGTGATGCCAGAAAGCTTTAAACAGAGCTTCATCACTCCCATTTTCTGGTCTTATTAGATCTATACCCATGTGAAATCTGCGTACAACAATCCTCCCGATGAGTTGAAGCTACCTGCCAGGAATAGAAATATGTGGCTAGAACTCCACCTCTTCAGAGAGTCAATACAAGACAATACCGATAATGCATCAAGGCGGAAAATTACAGAAAATGTGGTGGTAATCTGGAGTAGTACGTGCATAAGGAAAATACCTATAACTGCTCAGAACATGGCGTACTAAAGAAAGCGCGTCTGGATTACTAGGTACTTGGCGAGGAGGAGGTGCTCCTCGAGAGGGAGCTAACGCCATCGCTACCTGCTGAACTGATGCCACTACATTGCGTACATATTGACGAGCCATAGCTGCAACAGTTTCACGGGTGTGCACCTCGTACGCAAATTGAAAGGCAATCGTCAAAACAGACCGCATCTGACCGGGGCTATTACTTGATTTCGCATCACCATTCAAGCGTAAATCATTTCCACCCTCTAGAGTAGAAGCTAGATCAAGCGTGCGATCAAGACCAAAACCATCCTGCAGAAGCCAAAAATCTCGTAAAAACCATGACACAGCACAACCCAGCAATAGAGTGATGACATTCAAAAAGAACACAAAGAAACACGAATGAAAAGTAACTTTTAGAAAGATTGCTAGGAAATGACAAACGTACCACAACATTTGTGTCGATGGGACTAACACAAAAACCTGACGGAAGAAGAGGGATGTCATCAGCCAGAGCAACATCCACCGGAGCAAAAACTAATTGCGCACAAGCCCCAACTGCACTCTCATCGACTCCGCTACATAGCTGGTTCAAAAATTGACCACGCCATGTCAGTTTATGTGATCACTAAGCGATTTTAAACTCGCACAGTCATTGTTTGAAGACATTAAGATGAAATAAAACGCACCTGAAGCAGGAAAGTATCTCGAGACAGAACCATATGTTGCACTGAGCTGTGGCCTTCCACTTTCACAACCTCCAATATCTAGACACCATTACAAAGAACTTTCAGAAGTGGGTCGTACTAAAACAACAAGATTGGAATAAACTAAAAGGACGGTAGCCTGGTGCATATCTCTTCAGGTTTTAATAGAGCGTAGATTCCCAAGAGCATACCTCTCCAGATTCTCCAGAATAGGCCAAAGGTAGAGGCAACTGAACATGAGACACCCCACCACATCTAGGAACATAGCCGTTGCCATTGCTACGAAAAGAGGCCACATTTGCATCTATATCATAGTCCGCCCATTCTGACCTGTGCTCTCTCAAGAATCTGATTAACAGTGATGATGGGACATTCTGCAAAGCGCATTAAACCGATTACTGGCCGCAGGATCCTAGCTTTCAAAGAAAACCGATATTAGCACTTCGCAATGCTCAAGTAAGGGAAAGAAAACAAAGGACTTTATGCTACAAAGAATATTCGCACGTAAATAGGGTACATAACGTATTATGAGAGGCTATACTTGTAATAACATGGAAGCTTTTGCGCAAAGTATGCCTCCACCCAAAGAGTATAGCAGCTTATCCGATGCAATCTGCCCCTCCATAGATTTGGGAGTTGCATTGAGCATCACACTGACGTCATCTAGGCCATCGCTAATCGTAGCCTCCCAGCCATCATCTGGAAATCCATTGACCGCATTGTTGAAGCCCCTGTAATAATCAAAATATCTCAGTTCGAATTACCCACCTCTGATCGTCGAAGCAATCCCATTTGCTTAACCAATTCCAAAGCCAAACACGATGAGTGTGCTCTGAAAAGACAACTCACTTGGTTAGTCGCTGGCATAGTGTGCGCAGCACTGCTGGATGCTGACCATTCCGCGGAACTCCCTCGCCGCTTTCTTCTGCAGCTAGCCTCCTTAGATGCCGTAATGCCTGCATTGAAGATGCCATCAACGATGAGATAATTGCGAAGAAATCTCAGTACTACTCGAATATACGATATTTCTTTTAGAGAGAAAGCACCCAATGCAAATGCATATTATAGAAACACTTGGAAGAAGCTCCAACGTACCGCCAGAGTAGACTTTTGCGAGAGAACAGCTGGCGATTCATACAAAGGACGCAATACCTCCGGTACACTCCAAGGCTGCGAATGTCATATCATGGAACTTAATACACATGGTTCAGAACTCTAACTTCCAAGATTACCGAGCTTATTATTCATATAACTTCGAGTTAACACTGACTCTAACAGTCATCACTAAAGATGGTTAAATACTGTAAAAATTGACCAGGTGAGCTTAACTCACCTCGTTATTATAATGATCCACGACGTGAATGATACAACCGCCGCCATCACACGGCCGGATCAGGTAACCACTTGGATACATCTCTCCTCTAACAAAAGATTGGACGGGTGGCATTGTAGGTCCACCCTGAACACCACTTAGTGACCGCTCACATATCTGCAGAGCAAAATAGCCTTTTAAAAAATGACAAGAAAGTAAGCTTAACGCCTACACCTGAAAAACATGACTAGAAAAAATGACTGCATACCACTAGTTCACATAATTCTCAAGAACAGTATTCAACGAAATGAACCGTAAGTGACTTACCACCACGTTTCCATCTTCCAAAATTGTAGTGTATCTCAAAGTACAGTAATCCCGTGCAGGTGCCAAAGTAGTCGGTGCGTACATCTGGTGTAAATTTTAATCAAATTTGATCAGGTCAAATATATTCAGGAGCTCAGGTACGATCTTCAGTTTTTATGAAATATTCTTACCAGCAATGATTCAAAAAGGTAATACCTGAGTGTACAACAGCTCTATAGTCCCTCCATTTCCTGTGGGGAGAGCCCCGAGAATCTCCATTCGTCGACAGTCTTGTAACCAACGTGGACGATCTTTGAGAACTTCTGTTACCTTACTAATATCGAGGGCCACTAGGCCGCAAGCTCGAGCAGCTATACCAACGCAACCGTGGGATATAGCAATAATGCCAATGGCATCCGGACCAGGCTGCAAATAAACATCTTACTATTAGTGCAACAGCAATAGTCTCACCAGTTAACAAATTCAGCCAAACCGCCCTTTCAGAACTTCAGATTTCAATTTCAGAGCATTGCAATTACTTCAAATCACTCAGATTACGGTAAGAGGTGATGCGGTGAATCACTCATCACCATCGCGGAGAGATGACATACCTTCATACCAGGTAACTGAATCCAATCCACCGCCGTTCCTGTGGCTTTAGCCAGGAATTCTGTCAGCGTCTCCTCAGCGGTAGCTAACAATCTGCAGAAAATTTCACATTTCAGGTCAAAGTGCGACAGTCTCGCCCATGAACGGTAACTCTGAAAAAGAAAAATAGCAGGCATATAATTGCGATCCAAACGTTCCTATGTGGGCGCAAGCAATAAACTTGAAGCAAAATTTATAAAAGGCATGAAGCATCGTGACTATTGACCGGCTAATCACCGTTCCATCAAGGTAAGCAAATAGAGGCGTCGCAAACTCACCCCGCAGGACTGGAATCGCGAGGAGAATGCTGAGGAGTGAGACGATGTGGTAGACCACCAGTGACAGCAGAATCGCAGCTAGTATCTGTGGAGGCTATACCAGCCTGCCCGTGCACCTTTACACAAATACCGCCTTGAGTAGAGCTCTCATCTCCACCATTGACTGCTCCTTCTTTTTTGAGGGGACTCTGCAAAATCTACGTATCAAGTAGCATTAATGGTGGGATTAATTGCGAGAGAGAGAGAGAGAGAGAGAGAGCGAGAGAGAGAGAGTCCACATTTTCACCTCTTCTAAAAGCTTAACAAATTGAAAAGTTGGTTCAGGTAATTGCACACCTGTGATGGGAGACGATGCCTTCCATCGGGGAAAGGCAGATTAGGAATCTGCTGACGAAGGGCATGATTCTCCAGCGTGAGCTGCGAGGTATGTTTCGCTAGACGCTCATTCTCTTCCATCAAGAGCTTGTTAAGAGCTGTTAGTTTTGCGTTAACACTGACCAACCTTGTTGCTTCTTTCCGCTGCTTCTCCCGGCATCTGGAAAACAAATCGTAGTTTCTCGATCATATCTAGCAGACTAGATAATGGGAGCATTATCAACAAGCTCATCAAACCCACTGTGAGATCTTCGAAGTGCAATAAAAAAAATTAAATACAATTTTTAATTAAATCGTACCGTCGATTTTGAAACCAAACTTTAATCTGCTTGGGCTCAATATTTGCCAGAATAGGGCTCTCTTTGATCAGCTGATGGCGTCGGATAGAGCTAGGCTTGGGGCACTCATGGTAAACCCGCTCCAAGGCTTCCACTTGCTCCTGGGTGTAACGCACGTATTTTCCTGACGCATCCATCGTTTGGTCCTTCCACGTTTCTGACTCAAAACAATCAAGACAAAATCAGTTAACAGCATCACTTGGGGTCTACTACAAAACAACCTCTCATCGTGTGTCTGAGCGAAAGGCAGGAGTGTAACTCTTACAGCGAGCGGAATATACTACCCCCTTTTTCACCCCACGCACTGCTCAGAGAGTGAGCCAACATTACACTTGCAAAGAAATAATGCCCCATTTTCAAAATTTCATGAAACTCCCAAACAGAAAAGATTTATAACATAGTTCGAAGAACTTTTCAAGCTGGGTAGCAAGCTTGAAGCATGTCCAGGAATGGAACTCGATTACTAAAAATAACAGGACATTACAAAGCCGAATCATTATCGGAAAAGGCCGAAACGCGTTGATGTGGGAAGGGTGTCAAATCTATCAGATCTTAGTGCCGAGCTCAAGCCCCACATAATTTAGATCCAGGAGACCAGCGGAAACGCAACGCAGCATTCTGGCTTGAGGAGAGTCGTTGTCTCGAGCGGGTCAAAGAATTGCTCGAGAGCCTGAGATTTGCTAGACGCTGTGATACCACCAGACGCAGCTACGTTATTCTAGAGAGAGTGCTCCATAGCTGCGATCCATCTACCTACCTGTCATGTGAAGTTCGAGAGGTTGCAGTGGAGTTGTAATATCAGCAAACTCATCTGCAATGAAACATCAGCTTCAAGTTTCTTCAGCAGCAAGCACTCTTTGACTCGATTCTTCTAGTACCGCATATCAACTAGCAGATTCGCTCATCATAGAAACTGCACAGCTCGAAGCATATCACCCCCTACATCTCAAATATTCCACTTAATACGGACTTTCTAACCACCGTTCAGTCGTATGTTTCCTGTCTCAGCGGCCTGTCCTCATAACAAGCAGCCTCCTCAACCTCCAAATCCTCAGGTTGGACACAAGTCAACTCCTGAAATTCTTTGAGACCCTTGCAAAAATCTTGGACAACCTCTTAAGCTTCCCCGAACTCTTGAAGCCCGTAATCAATTTCTGTCGTGAGCAGGCCCGGTTGCGAATTGCTGGTTGGTGACGACAGCCCGTGTTCAACTCATACGACTGAAACCCCAGTTGACAAGACACAAAGAACGCACTACTACGTGCCCAACCTAGAAGCTTCCAACCCCTAACAAAGAATTCTCCTCACAGACCACGCAAGAGCTTCTGTTCCTCCTAGGTCCTCGTCCTCTCAAGCTGCTACTGATGCTCCTGCTGCTACTGCTGCTGCAGCAACACCCTACCCTTTTCTTGACAACCTTCAAGCTCCTCTTCTTCTTCTTCTATACCACGAGTTGAATCGCACACAAGGCATCCCTGTTCCCAACTTCCACAGCCGAGAATATGTGGATGCCTATACACAATCACACCCTTTGTTCATTCACCTTTCGTCGCCCTCGATGCTACACGACCGTGACGCCGGCCTGACGCAACACAAAAACCATCAGCAATAGACCCACCATAGCCACTACAGAGTCACACTACTACCACTACCACACAACAACCACGACAACAACAACAGCAACGCCTCCACCTCTACTACTCAAACACAAATGTCCATCGCCAGGATGCGCAAGAGCACAACGCTGCTGCTCCAGGTAAACTACTCTCCACTCTTGGATTCTAATGATGACATACGAACCCCATTCCACTCCATCCCCATATCTACCGCCACTCCCTCTCCACTCAATCAATCATCACTCCAGCTGATCCCCGACATAGCCCTCTCCATTTGTACATACCTTCCGAACAACAACCATTACCCGTAAAAACAACCCCTCCTTCATGGCTACTACTACATACAACCAAAAACTACACCATCATCTCTTCCATCATCGACACGACCACCTCTACTACTCCTCCTCCTCCTCTCGCTCTCTTTCTCTCCCCCTTCACCAACACTTCCTGACTTGCTTCCTCTCTATTTCCCTCTACGGACTCCTACCGGTATGACAGCTTGCTCCCTCACCTTGGAACCCTCCACCTCCTCCACCTCCTCCTCCTCCTACCTCTTTACTATTACTTCGCCTAACTGTTTCCCAACACTTACTGGTCCTGTCCTCACCATCGCCAGTGTCATCCCACAATATCCAACGCTACAGTGGTGATAGTACCACTGCTGCTTCTCTCTCTCTCTCTCTCTCTCTCTCTCTCCACCTCCTCCAGAGGCACTCACTAAACAAAAGGTAAGAAAGCAGGCGGGCGGAGGGAATGACAAGTGCGAAGAAGATACTCAATTGAGAGCATCGGCAGTATCAGCAGCAGCAGAAGTAGCGCATCAACAGTCCCATATCATCAGCGATGGTAAAATTATCATACGAGGGGAATGAGGGCCGGGGGGGGTGGTTGCCGCACACACTCACACACACACTCACACACACACTCACTCCATGACAATCTACGAGGCAATGATGAGCCCGACGAGCCCGGCTTTTACTTACCCCCCCCCCCTCCCACCCCCAATTCTCTCTCTCTCTCTCTTCCCTTCCCTCCCCCACCCTTTCTCTCACTCTAATTCTCCTTTCCAATTCCTATGCTTCCTTAGTGGTAAACAAACAAAAAGCATACTCAAACCAAATCTGAACAAAATTAACAAATAAAAAAAACATGCAGCTTGTACTAACATTAGATCCGTTTCATTAATATTATTATTAGCGTTGCAATTGCTTCTGCACATCCAATTTTGAGTTAACAAGGTCAATGCTGTTGCCCCCACATTCATGGCCACTAGTTGTAATGTGTGTGTGTGTGTGTGCATGCTTTTGTTTTATTTTATTTTATTTTATTGTTCTTACGTTGTTTTTTGAAGGGTGTTGGTGTCCTGAGAAAGTCTTGAATAGTGTTTTTGTAGTATTTTATCCCCTTGAATATGTGTGTACTTAATGTAGCCTACTTCAGGACTCGTCTGATAGAAAAATCCTACAACCTTTGGGTTTCCTCATGTAAAACCCGTTGAAAACGGAGCAAAAATTATTGCAATTTCAGTAAATCACTTAATATTTACGCTGAGTTTATTAGTTCAATTTGAGTGGTGGAGTAAATGCAAGCAGGAGCAATGATGTATATTTTTGAACCACTAGTAGAACAAAGAATGGGATGGTTTAGTGCAACTTCTCATAATTTTGAAGGAACCTACCAATCACACCTTTTTTTAGCATTTAATATCCACAGTACAATCAAGAGCACAAAGTTGGCTTTCGAATATTCCTGATGCCCATGTACACGTTTCCAATCTCTTTTCATGCTCCTGTTTCGAATTCTAAACTCTTTTGTAGAAATAACAAAAGAGAATACAATAAAAAAAATCAATGGGAATAGGGACGGTGGGACTTGGAACTGTCCTCCTCCCAGTCCCAGTCCCAGCACTATGCTAGTGGCTGTATTGTGCAGTGTGAACAGGGAGTAGTGAATTAGTCCCCCGCCCTGCCCTACCTGATAGGGCCCCTGCGAGGAGGAGGTCGGTACTGTCCAGTAGGTTCTTTTCCCATCATGAAGGGGCTATTGACTCCAGAGAGTGACACACTCTCTCTCGACCCCGTGGGTAGGTAGTGTGTACCTCCTAAAACCTGTGTGTGTGCATGTATGTGGCACATGTGGTGGTAAATTTCTTCCTTTTCTGTGAGGTAATCCCACCTTTCTACATACAGAAAAAGTAAAAGCATGTGAGAAATGGAAGGGTGAGACTCCTTTTTTCCTTTCTTTCTGTTGCCCAGTTGGGTTTTGTTTTTGTTTTTGTTTTTTTGTTTTTTTTTTTTGATTTATTTCTTTACTTATTTTAATTCTCTCCCTTTGAATTTTGTGTGGGTTGGTACAAACTTCACAACAAAAGCTATAAATGCGCTTACCCAGCTATCGTACAACTCCACACTCTCCAAGCCCCTTTCTTAGTTACCCTATTCCCTCAATTTAATGTATGTGTATACATGATATTTGATGAATAACCAAAAATATAATGGATAAAACACACACATGTATGCATTGGAGGTGCTGTATTTCCAACTGACAAATTGGGTGCAATGTTATAAATGGTTGTGAAACACAAATACACCATCTCATACTTAAATGGAGCCTGGAGGAAGATTCCTTCCCTTAATCTTTTCCCCACTTTATTGAGCTCACTGTTCACACAAGTAAATCAAAGTTTCTGCATTAGCATTAAAAGTGCCCTTGGCTACCTATGAGATATTACAAACATTAATTGTTTTGATGAATATTTATATATATCATGTTACACAAAAATAATACTTTTTGAGGCCCAAAAACAAGTAAAGGATGTAAGCCACTGCTAAAATGACAGAATGCATTCATAACGAATTTCCATTTATTTTCACAGAGTATTTGGATACAGTCTGTGACTGAGAACTTTACGAGATACTGTATTCCATGATCCAAATTCATTCAAGCATTTTTCAAATGAGATGCATTGGGGAAGAGGAAAAACCCCTGGAACTGCGTGTGTGCTGGCTCAGCCAGTGACATCTCCTTCTTCTTTACACCTCAGATACAATAAATTGACAGCCACTGCACCTGGAAAGGATTTCAGATAAAATTGCCTTTTCAAAGCAACTTTTCACAGTGCCCCACATCAAAACAAGAATGAAATAATAAATAAACAAATTCAGACAGGATCATGTGAATAGACAGAAGGTGGTAGAAGGAGCAGAAGAAGTAGAAATTACCTCCATGTTGGTGAGTTCTAAGTCTTTCTCTCTTTCTTCTTCCAGTGAATATTCATTGGGATCAAAATGGTTATATTCTGTTCTTTTGGTATGAGGACAGATTGTTCACGTTCACATGAACACATGTACAGAGAGAGTTCAAGCACCTGTTGTATATATTTAGTGTCTCACAAGGGGCAGAAGCAGCCTAGGAGCCAAATTGCTGAGAAGTTGCTAGCCATGGTATATGATAAGAGGCTGCAGAGCTGTAGGCTTGCAATGATTTTGAGCAACATAAATTCTCTCGTTTGAAAAAGAGGGGTGGGGGTGTAATGACATATTAAAAACAACAGGCTTCCAATGAGTACAACTGATTATTAACTGGGTACGTATCAAGCAAAACAAAAGGCTGCAGTATCAAAAATATTCCATCCCCAGTGGATGCTTTAAAGGCATTGCCAGTGTTCCAGGTATCAACATAGCCCTAGAGACAGTGTTGCTGCTGCTGCATTCAAACAGACAGACAGACTCACAGACTCCTCCAACCCATGCCAACTTCCTAATTCAGAACAAGTAACCCAGAGCCTCTCTCAGCTTTGCCACAAATAAAAATCATTACAAAATACATGAATAAGGAATTTCTAACAATTTTTTTTTTCAAAAAGCATGCATATATTTAACGTATTTTTTAATTAAAGTATCAACGTATCTAAATTTTCTTTACTGGGTACTAATATTGACCTGATGTAGTAGGTTTCTTAGAAGCGACTAAACTCCCATACTGGATCAACAGTCACATGATGATTTGTTACTTCTGTGTGGAAATGATAATTCATGAATATATGAAAGTTACCAAAAGTATGAATATATATATATATATATATATACATATAAATCAACCATCTAACCCTATTTTTTTAAAAAATATTCTAAAAGAAAACTACCTCATTTCTCCATGTTTAAAATTTACTCCAATGCAGACAGACTTTGTGTACCAACTGGGTAGGGCAGTACAGCCCAGGTTCCTCACCACAGCCTGAGCAGGCATCATGTGGCACTTCCCCACTACTCCCTTCAGTTTCCACACTCCCCATGGGGTTTATATAGTACAATACAAGTACAGTAAAAATACGACATTGTACAATACAGTAATATAAATTTATATTTTTGAGGGTTTCCTAGTTGCTGTGTGCCAAAACATGGCAGTGAAAAAGTCTGTGCATTGTGGAAAAATCACCATCTCAGGCTGATCCATCCTCGTAAAGGCAGAGTTTCAATGCAGTGTGAACACAGGGTGCGAGGCATGAGGGAGGGAGAGAGTGAGCCATGCTTTCATCCCCTATTATTCATTCGTTGTCTCGTTTATCTGTTCATCCATCCAGCCCAGTACACAAACACTCTGGAGTTTGTAAGTAATCAACACACGACAATCCCATTACTTTACTTTCTCCATACTGTACATTGCAGCACATCCCTCTGTGGTCTTGTCAGATGCAGACCTCAATAACGACCCCTCTACACCGGTCAGTCTCCAGTGTCAGAGGCATTGGATGGATGCGTCCGTGAATAAAATGGATGAGAAATCTCCTCTCGTTTATCAAATCCCATTTGCTCTGAAGACCCTCCTTGTGTTGGGATTCAATGTTGCACACACCAGTCTTGATCTTGCCATAACTTCCCACATTTGAGCATGGCCAATTGTACCATTCCCTCAGGAAACATCCATCCATTCATTCATCCGTCCAAAGAGTCATTCGTTTTGGTGCCAAAACACCTTGTCTTTTGTTATAATAAAGATTTACTACTCTGAAGAGGAAATGTATAACATAAATAAAACATTAGGCGTGATTGTGATTTACATCAATGGGTGAATTCTATTCATGTTAAAAACATGAGATAGTGAAGTACTTATTCAACAACTGGTTATACCTGTCTCCTACATGATGTCATGAAACATAGTTTGGTAACATCCAACAAAAAAGAACCATGAAATTAAATTGCAAAAGAGACTTGCACAAACTTACTTTTTTCCATGCTGTGGTAAAAAGTGTTGGTATTCATTTATACATGTTCATACAAGGGGTAGAGAGAGTGTTGGTAAAAAATTGCACAAATTTCAAATATCATTTCATTTGAGTCTTTTCAAGGAAAGCGCATGGTCTTGGAACCCCTCCAAACCCCCCTCAAACTAGTTCAACGGTGGCCCTAGAACCACATGCTCCCAAAATGAATGAGAGAAGGCAGCAAGCTGGTCCTTGTTCCCACCTTCGCCATCCAAATACCACATCTTTATGACCATTTTGTTAAATCAGGCCACAAGACCAAAGACAATGAAAAAAACACACCCAATAGCTAGAATCTGTTCTTTTGGTCTGAAGTTGTCAGCCATAAGGGGCAAACTTTTGGCCTGTGGGACAAAATGGACTTTCTGTCCACCTACTTTCTGAACAAAGAGAAAGCGAATGAGATAAAGATGAATGAAGTCGAGTAGAGTCATCCACACAAAGAAGCAAATTATCATCTATTTGTTGGATGATAATACTTGTCTTTGCAAGTCCACGGCTTCAAAAGGAGCGAGAGCCTAGCAGAGCCCCAGACTAGTAGAGCCTAGCCTAAAATAGGGAAATAAAAAGAGGATGAATGAAATTCCGTATATGGATGGATGTGTGGATGAATACTAAACGGATGGTGTTCCCCATTGAATCCCACCACCAGCAAGCACACACATGTGTCTCACTCCCTTCGTGTTCTCTTGAAGTGTGCCTCCGAGTTCCCCTAGCGTGTTCCCCACTGGGAACTAGGGTGTCAGTTTCCCATGATGAATCCTCCTCCTCCTTCTGATGGGATGTCTCTCTCCCTAGATGGGATACATTCATCTCCATCCATTATGGATGGATGTGTCTGTTCGTTGGATGCTCACCCTGCGTGTTAGTGAAGGAAGAAGCTGTTTTGGCGAGAGTCCACGTTGCTCTCAACTTCAAAATCCTCATTACACTTGATAGGTGACGTTTACTTTTTTGTTTTATTTAATTTAAGGTAATTTAGGTAAACACGCGAGTATTTCATTTTATGTTGTATTACATCCGTTTTTTTATTACTATTTTTAAATTTTGATTTAACATAATAAGAATAATAATAAGAATGACCAAATGGATGACTTGAAATATACACATCCTTATGATGAATTTGACTGTTTAGAATTTTAAACCATTTTGCAAATACATGTTCCAAAAGCAGAGAAATTTACACTCACACACATATTGACAAAAAGGTTTCTTCATAAGGTCGTTGATTTTTAAACAACATAAAATAAATAAATGTGTAAACAAATCTCTTTTAGTTTTTAATGATATGTATAGTGACCAAGTCACTATGTAAAACCTAATGCATGCTCTACATCCACTCAATGTATGCACAGAAGCTGAAATAAAATAATTAAATAAAGTCATCAATTTTGCTTCAAATTATAATTTACAACATTTATTCAACAAAATAGTGTGAAAACTTGCCACATGTATTTTTTTAGTGTATGTATATATATATATATATATATATATAGACATTCATGCATTCACTTAGAACTATATTCTAAAAAGAAAAACTGTAACTAAAACAGAAAATTCTTTGAATTTAATAACTAAAACTGTGTACACTCTTCTTTGAAATCAAGTTCAGAATTCTTTGAGGCATCCAACAATGCTATTGTACCGCTTCTGAGAAGAACTGCAGGGTGTCACACTTTCATTCATTCATTTACTTCAAATTGAATCAATAAATAACTGACTCTTCTTTTATTTTGGTATAAACCTGATGGATTCTTTTAAATAGTCTGTGGCGAGCAATAATCATTGGGGTGAACTTTGTAAATAAAAAGTATCGTGCATTACATTCATTTGGAGAAGGGGAGTGAAACTAGTATTGTTGATTCACACGAATCATCTGAAATTTTCTCCTTGAGTCAGTTAAATTCATTTAAAATTTAAAAGCGTGTAAAATATGCCTCATTTTTATTCATGCAGTTACTATTAACACCAATTCAAGACAAGAGTATGAATGTATCGGATTCTGATATTTTTAAATAGTACATCAGATCTAACTATTGTTGTTAATAAACTGTTGATTCTAACTATTGTGATTTCACCTAATATAGGTGAAGTTTTTGGAAATTTTAAAATTTGAAAAAAAATATTTTACAGAAAATCATTCTGTAAGATTTTTTTTAATTTTTTATTATTCATGGTGGAATTGATTTTTTCAAAAGATTGTTATAATTCATATACTAGACTGTTCCTCAATAAATTAATTGGGTGTAACATACTTCATGCCATTTTTATTTTATTTTATTTATTTATTTTTGACTTTCTGTTCACATGAATGCACTTAGAAATAAATATGTGATTAAAATTCACAATTATTACTTTTCCTATTATCAAAACTAAAAATAAATAAAAACGTATAGGGTGAAAATTTGAGAGTGGGTATGTTTGAGAATTGCTTATTCACCCTGGGGAAAGGAAATAAATATAAATATAAATTAAAAACCACAATATAGTATGGTCTCTTTGTATTAGAGTAGGGTAAATCAATACACACCTTAGTTTTGTTTGAAATGTCATGTATCCATGAAAACACACATAAATTCACATGCACTTAAATAAATTTCCAAGCAAATCAAACTCATGATTGGGTGGTATGCTTAAAAACCTACGATAGGATGGATGGATGCATACGTTAGTTTGGAGCACGAAATCTGAACGTCATTGCCACGTCAGCAAGTAGTGTGCCAGGTCAGCAGCTGGTTATAGGGCTCCTTCCTGCCACCACAATCCAAGACCCGTTCTTGAGCCCAGAGGATGGATGCGTTGCTAGCCACAGCACTTTACACTGCTCCCCAACCTCAGCCCTAGATTAGGGTTTCCCTTATTGGCAGCCTTTCTGAAACAACAACTTGTACTTTTATTCGTTAGATCTGCAAATGTAAACCCAACAACTGAATTAAAAACATATTGAACAATTAAAAAATTATTTTTAGAGTTTTTCCTATTGACTTGTTTTACATTAAAAAGTGTAAAGTACGTATTAAATTGTATCGGATGTGATTTTTCATACATTTTTTGCATTATGATCTTCAAAACATTATTGTTATTGATTTTTTTTTTAATAAATATTTTTTAAAAATGAATTCAGTATATATTCCTTGAATGCACAATGCAATCTACAATTCCATTACCTCCAGTCATTCAGATTAAAATCGTCAACTACATCATTGAAATCGATCTTAATTTTAAAAATTTGTATTTTGCAGAATTCAATTTTGTAAATACTTTCAAAGAATGTCATATGGTCACTTTTATGCTGTAGTTCTATATAAATGACATGTAGATGTAAGAATTATTCAAATAAGAATCAATACAACATGGTTTCGTTTCCAGTGCCACAATGTTGAATAAATTGTTTTTTGCTAATATTTCAAATATTGTATTTGAAGGTGATAATATTCAAAAACATTTTACATAAAAAACATAACTGATTTTTCAGTGCTATTTGTACAAAATTTTAAATTAAAATTCCACATACAAATATAGCACTGAATGTGGCACATTCACTCACGTATGAAAGTTTATATTTACAAATTTTATGTCTATATTTATGAGGATAAATTTTATCTCTAAGCAAACTTACATATTTTGATTCGGTTTGTTCAACTGCAATTGCACACGTACATACAGTCAAAATTCTCATATCTTATGTATAATAACACAAGCAATTAAATCAAAAAGAAAAGAAAATAAAAGAAAAGAAGTAGAAGAAAGTAATTTTATCTTTCAATAGTATGTATAAAACAATTTCATTGCCATATCATGCCATGCAGGGCGATGGCGAAGTAGGCTGGGCTGCGGGGAAGAGATGTGCACTTGCATGAGCGCCACCTCTTTGCATGTGCATCGCAATACCAGCTAGTCACCATTCAATTCTCTTGGCAGCATCGGACAAGGCTACTACTTGGGGGCAAGGATGAGCCCGCACTCTTCCAACAGATTACGCTGACGCCGCACTTGCCCAGCCTGCCCAATTGAGCCGGTGGCCTCTTGTCCATGGGCTGAGTCTTGGCAAGCAAGCTCCCCGCGGCTGCCTTTTCCACACACACACGCAGCGAGAGGGAGCCAGTTGAAATTGAAAACAGTGGCATGTTTCGAGAGGTGAGCGGTTTTTGTCGCATTGCGGCAGTTGGGGTGGCGAATCAGCCTCCAGGCTGCGTGGGGCCCTAAAGCGGCTTTGGTGGTATCCGGTTTTAACTGTGGCTCGCCTTTGCTTCTGCCGTAGCCGGCCGCGCCTCCCTCTTCACTCCTCGCTGCGCCTTTTGTCGTGTAGTGGTCAGGAATTATCCTGAGTGCTCTCTGCGCACGCACATGCGTATCAAGTTGGCTGCGGTGTTTGGGGAACTCAGCGAACCTGTGCCGTGTCGCATTCCAAGCCATTCCGCACCTTTCATCAGCAAGGTTTTAAAATGTAGCTGTGTGTCACAACTTATAGTATATTTACAACGTGAAACTCCAGATTTTACTCTACACGCTAACTTTAAATCTTTCACAGTGGATTTGTTACTTGTTGTGTAGATACAAATCTCAAATTGTCATCCCTAGTTGATCTGTTTGAGATGCAGTATTGTATGTATATATACATATATATGGCTTACAATCCATTCGGTTAATATTATTTCTGCTCAACATGCCACTTCTAGTTTCAAGCCGAATACTGAAAAAACAGAAAAAAAACATCACACAAACAACAAGCTGATGAGTGAATCTGGAGACAAATCCAGTAGACGCACTCACTTCCGAAATCTGAAAATGATGCATGGTATAGACCAATGTGAGATCTAGCTACATGAAGACAAACATACCTTTATGTTGCTAGAAGCTACCACTTCCAACTCATGTTCATGAGATAGCCATCAGTGCCACAAAACAAAACCTATTTCTATCAACAAGGTCATTGCTTCCTCTGTTCCTAAATTAGCATGAATCACAAGGAAATTTAGAATCTGGAATGAGCGTTCCTTTTTCTTTCTACAGTTGTGGTTTCCTAAGCCGGACAGAGACCACTGCGAAGCAGAAAGCTTCAATTGAATAAGAGAGGTTTCGACACCATGGGCTTGTTAGGTGTGAGCGATTTCGTACTAGGAAACCCAACCGCAGTATATGCTGATCATGGTCCCAGTGGTTGGTTGAGTATATTCAACCTTCGGGACATCTGGTCGTAACACCTCTAGAATAACCTTAATAACTTTTACCATTGCCACAATGTATCTCCGTAATCCAGTATCTAGAATTCGAGCAAACAATACATAATATAGAGCACGTTGGGTGAACTTGGTTTCTCTGAAGAGACTGTTGCAAAAGCGGTTTGTCTGCTGTACACATGAGATATTACCATGCAATAGGCGTCCTGCCCAACAAATTTCTACCCAACATATCCAATCGCCAGAGCAACAAGTTGGAGGAATAAGGAAGCAGCTTTACACGGCACCTAGAAACAAGTGCACCAGGAATCACACGTATGTTGGCAGTCCATTAAAATGACCTGGCATTTAAAAATCCTCGTTCTCGGCTCCGTTCTTGAATCCAGGAAAGGAAGCATTACCAGACCAATGTGTGCCAGAAGCTATAAAACGGGGCTTCGGAGTCTTTAGGGTAGGAAGAAGCCAGTTGTGCACACAGGAGCCCCAGGACTTAGACATCCTTAAGAAGCTGATGGTGATGGTTTGCGGGGCAGCCTGAATCCACAACAAAAAATTGTCAGAGGGGTAAACGGGGCAATTAGGGAGGGTAGAAGTGCTCAAGGTTTCACCCCAAGCTTATCAAGGTCTCAATGAGCACTAATCAACTATTTGCATGATTTTCTCTCCACATAGGAAGAATACAAGGAGTAGAGTATTGATCGGCAGCTCACGATCTGCTTCTTTCAATATAATTCAACATGGCATTCAACGCCCGCCCACTGTCAATGGCATCTCTTGCTCTTTCAGCTGCAATAAGAGGACTTTCGGCACCAATGCATCCCAGTGAATGATCAGTTACAGCTGCATTAAGAACAATACGATCATACGCAGGTCCCTTTTCTCCTCTAAGTGCTGCCATTCCCAACTCCAAGTTTTTCTCAACCTGCGATTTCAGATTAAAGAGAAATTGTTGTGAATTATTACCACAACTAAGGAACGCTACTATTTTAAGTACCTGAATGAATCCAAGTGTAATCCATCAAATCCCACCACTTGGATTCCGTGAAAAGTAGCATGAGAAGGCCAAGAAGTGCTTACCGATCTGTCAACTCGTGGAGTAGCTGACGGAGCAATACCGTAATCTTTGGCATTCACCTCAAGGGCGAAAGTTTCCCTCAAAACACCTGCAGCAGTAAGAGGGACGTATGAAAAACACGTCATTTCTCTTGAAGATCAAAATAGTGACGAAGAATTACCCATACACACTAGATGCAGGTCAAAAGTTTGTTGACTACACCTTCTGGATTGCGGATGCCAGCACTGGAGACATGTTGAGGCCTGAACCCGGCAACATAATTTAGTGGTTTGCCCTTCACCACGGCAGCAGGTGACCTGCATTTCGTTGTAAGGGACAAAGCCCCTTCCTCTCCCTGCATTGTACATCGTCATAACAAAGAGAGGAAAACGATCATTATGTATGATATTCAAGGATTCTAAACAAAAAAAGGTTGTGGTATTCAATCTTCGAGTGCAAAGTGAAAGGTAACAGACGAAAACAGACACGAATGTTCCTAGATTATCTTACTAGACCAATCGAACTAAAAAGTCCTTCAGCTTATACGTGAGCTTTATTGTAGAATCGGAACCAGTCCAGACACTCCAACAATTCCGGACCGCATATCTCCTACTACGCTTCATCTACGAACCATGACACGCACCTTAATGACCAAGCCAGCCTGTACTCCTCTTCTGCGTATAAGCATTAAGAGAGGATCCTCATAAACCTCGTGATAGAAGCTAGCTACCATCGCTTCGCGACCTGTGGCCTGCGAAAAAAATCACAGTTAATGATGTCACTCCTCTATAGCATACCAGAGGTTTCTTTTCTCAATAAGCAAAGCTATTTGAGAAAGAAAGGTGGTTATTAGTCTCCTACAATTCTGAACACGCTACTTTCCTCCTCTCAATTTATGCTTATTACAACAACTCGACATCCTTGCAGGTAACAAAATAAGATACTGGTGATCGAATCAATGGCATATTGATTGATAAACATGATGAAGATAAAAGGACGACAAACCCGCACGTTATCAGATAAAGTACGAAAGGTCGAAAAAAAACCTTGATATAATGCTGCACTTTCTCAGTTGTTGCAATAGGAGGACGTTTCTTTATGTGCTCTCTCAAATCCACAAGAGAATATCTGCATGAGCAAAGTCAAGAGGGCTTTATTCGAAATAAGGAGACTTTTATGAAGATAAGATACTCGCAGATCTCCAGACAATTAACATGCGATCATCCATGGACTTGCTTAGACGCGGCTTCCGTGGATGGAGAATATATGACGAACGTTCAAAGAAACAGCCTAGTACCACTAGAAACTCAATCGTCCAGAGATTTTCCGATCGCCACTCATCCTCAAATATTTCATCCATGGCATAACTACAAATTTCACATGTAGACACTGAAATGCTGTCGGGCTATCTCTTGCGTATAAACCGAGATTTATGTTTGTCAAATTGTATTCGTTTCTGCTCCGCTCATAATAGTCTTGCACCTACTGCAAGAAAATTGCAAAATACTTACAATGATGGTCGGGCTTCTCGTTGGCTGATGTAGGCAAATCCCACGTCTTTATCCTGCGTCCACGAAAATGAGAATTTTACGAGTGGATCATCAAATGAAGTACTCCCCCTAATCCTCAATAATTCGACATACTAATCACAAGGACTAAGAGGTATCGTATTGACACTACAGTTACGCAAAAAGAGATGAGTTTTCAGATTGATATCAACCCTAGCGAACTCATATTAGTGCCTGGCCACCAGTCATCACTAGTACACGTATGAGTGAGCAAAATACAAATTGAACTATTAAAAACCTCGAGAAATCTAACGGCTTCTTTGGGCAACAGAGTGGTCTTAGCACCCATAAGCTTCAACACTTGCTCCTCTGTAACGCCACCCTGTAATGTTGAACAAGTCGTATGAGAATGAGCAAGAGACATTTAACAGTGAATCAACACCAAATACTAATCCCAGCCACCCCTTCCCCAAAACAAAATAGAAGAGATAAAAGAGGAAACAAGAATGTGAGGAAGAAGAAGAGGAAGAAATGAAAAAGATAACAAGAAAGAACATTCTTCAAAGTTATGCATTGCAACGGATCACGGTTTTGCCGAGTTGTTGAACAAAACCTATAACCCACCTTAGGAGGCATCCAATCCACACCATGCAGAAGGCAAGTCTCCCCGTAGCTGGCTCGTACAGCTGCTACAAAGAGAGAGCTCCGAAAGAAGCGCGTATTTCCATCATACGGCTCCCCATAATGTGTCAGTGATTTCACTTTAGCGACTGGTAATAAACCTGTATTGAAGGAGGGAAACTAGCTCAGGTTGGTCTGATAGGGTGATTTAGACTAAAGACGCCCACGAGTTAATTAGAGTTAGCATCACGCTCATACTGTCTTTCAGCAGTCGTCTACAATTTCAATTGCTCTGGAACGAATAAAAAAAGAAAAACATCAAACTACCTAGCTCATCATCGAAAGCCATGCAGTAAGCTTTGAGCTCCCTATCCGTCTCCCCGTTCATGCGTGCACAGATTAAAAACGCTGCAAGCAAAGCATCGCTAACTTCACTCTTAGGTCCTTCAAGAGGAAGGACTCTTTTGAGCAACATCACGACTTCCTCATGCCCCAAGTGACCGCCCACCAGTATTTCTCGCAGAGCACCCACCAGTCGCACATCCGGAGGAGAATTCCCTGAAAACAGTGGACCTTTGGACCCTCCCATGATGGTGCCTTCCGGATCTGCCAGGAAGAGAACCTCCTCCGGAAGACATCTATAGAGGGCAGGCCAGAACGTGGACATAGCCTTCTGCTCGCCCTCACTCCACCGCGTCGGGGGTGGAAAGCAGTTTGCACGGAGTGTCATTGCACCAAAATAAGCCCCCATTTGTGCGTGAGAAACTTTTTCAGAATCAGGGAGCTCTCCCCTTGCTGCAGCCACATTCAAATCATCGAAACATCATTGAACTGATCTTCATACTGCACTTGAGACTTTGTTATCGGTATGCAAAGTCTACCCCTTATTATGAAGCTCAACGTTAAGAACACTCTATCGAGACATCTTGCAAACCGTGACCCCATGCCAGAAACGAAAAGGATAGGAATCTCTCTACATTCAAATGAAAAATGAATTGAGATGCAGTTCGAGTTACCTGATTGTAGGATAGTACCAAGGACTTTAAACGCTTGAGCTTCATCGAGAGGTCTTGTTTGTGTAGGTCCAGTGCACACACGTGCCTGTGCGTCAAAGAGAGTCTTGTTGGGACCAACGGCATTTTGCAGCTTCTTCACTCTTGTTGGAAGATGCCCCTCGTCATCTCCATCTGATGTCTCTGAGTGCGAGGTTTTTTCCGCAATCGAGAGCACAAGGGTACTAATTCTTTGACATGAGTGATGGTTTCTACTGCGAGGCAAAATTAGATTACTAACGTTGATGCATTGTACGAGGGCTCTAGTTGGCTTCGAAATATTACACAATTGATTGTTTCTGGAATTGGCCTTCATAGCTTGGAAATTACAGACACTACGCACGGCTGAGCATGGCATACGGACAGCTTCTCCTCGATGGAGGGGCATGGCTGGCCTATGTGAACAATTGCCCTCATTGAGCAGAGAAGGTGAAAGATATTCCCCCCATAACAGAGATGGAGCCAGATTCGTTTGGTGAAGACCTTCCATGGAGGCTATCTTTCACCACTAAACTATCCTCGTATCACAATCTAACCCCAGCGCCATGATCTCAAGAATTCAATCATGTCACAAAGCGCTTGAAAATCATAAAAAGAATCGCTAGCCTCTACATGTTCGTAGGTCCTACAATTCTCACCAAATAAACACCACTGCATTAATCTTAATCCAAGAAGGAGCTGTATACATTGCCTTCGACAAAATGTACAAGTCGGATGCACTGCAGCTCGAACTCCCGACAAAAGGCTCCGTCACAGAACCCACCCTTGTCTATCAACGATCACCTAAAAGGAATGCAGCAAAAAGCTAAACAAAAAAAATTAAATGAAAAGAAAGACTTCAAATCCATTCCCCTGTCCACGGGGAAACGGCAACCATGCTCAACATCAAACACAATTAACTTCGACACCTGAGAACCAAAGACTACGTTCTGGCAAGACCCCAAGTGAGCTAAACACTAGCCTACACCACCACCTCGAGTCGATCCACAACCCACCTTGAAAGAGAACAAAAATCACATAGAAATAAAACCACAATTCCAAAGGCAGTCCTCAAAAGCTGCGGACAAGAATCCATACCCAGATGACAGAGAATGAACCAAATGAGGTGAAATCTGCAGGGACAGAGGTGGCCGTTTCGGCACGAGAGAAGCGAGAGTCAGGCAGGGAGGCAGGTAGCAGGTGAAGCGGCGGCGGGTGCGTAGGGGCGACGATTGTCCTCGTTGGCTACTCCATCATCGCAGTTATGGTCCTGCTCTGATTCTTCTTCTTCTTCTTCTTCTCCCACTTGGCTCCTCTTCCTCCTCCTCCTCGATGTTGCTGTTACTCCACAATGGACTGAATGTGGTCGCTGTGGCCGCACATTCTTCCGAGTATTTCCCCAATTGGTACGCATCTTCGCAGTCTCTGGATTCTCACGAAGATGCCGCTGCTGGGATTGTCGCTCATGTCCCCCCCCCTCGGAACCTCCGCTTCTCGACAGCACCGACGCCGTTTGTTTGTTTGTTTCAATGTTTTTCACTTATTTGCTTGTTTACTCTCAATGGAACAGAAGAGAAGGGCGTTAAACCCTCATTGCTGCTTTTGATGATTACTCGCAAACATAGCTTGTGCCAAGGTAAACCCAGAGTTAAGCTGTTAAAGAAAGTTGCTCAGAGGATTACCATGTTCTTGGAGGTCTTCTATGATTTTATTTTTGTTTAAGTTATCAATTGTAGATGCCATATGGATTTAATCAAAGATTAATATATTTTCAATGAACAAAGACTTATCTTAATTTAATGCAATTTGTAAACATTTTTTATGCAATATTAATTTATTTTTCACATATCATATATATATATATATATATAAATATTAATGTTGTTTTTTCTACCAAGTATTAGTACCAAATTCTTATATATTGGAATAAAGAATTAGTTGCAATAATCTTTAATAATAGAGGCTAGTAGAAGGTTTAGAGACATTTATAAGTGATGTGACATAGGCCATGTATCAAGGACATGAATGACAAACAATTAAAATGTCAATACACTCTTGTATCACTTAAAGATAATATAATATTAAAACTAAAATGGCTATTGCCAAAGACAAGAAGACTAAATTAAGAACAAGAAAAGCATTAACAAAAGTGAAGAAGATTTTACTCTTATTTCTATATATATTATCTAAATAGAAAATACATGGTGACATTCTATAGGACCTTTGACATGTATCCAACTTGTGGGATATATGTCTAACTTGTAAGACAAGTTTTTTATGTGTATGCCACATGACCAATTTATACCACATGTTGCCAACATGTGCAATACATAGCTAATTTGTTAACTAAGGTTTCAACCTACCAATCACCTACAAACATATATAAAGTTAAATCTATGTCTATGAAGCTTTTGTACAATACATTATCAAATTTATCTACTTTTACTTATTTCTAATTAATTATTATTATCTAAATAATTATAAGTATCAATTATGTTTATCATATTATTCCTCCTTCTACAAATGAATTCCAACCTATTTTGATGTTGCTTTGAATCTAAGACTTCTTCAAACTTAAGCTCTTGAATATTGTCTACTTTTAGAGGATGAGGTGGTGATTGTTTTTTTTTTCAATATATCCACTATCTTATATGGCTCAAGAAAAAACATATAGAATACATGATGGATTTTTATGCATACTTGTATGTATAATTAATAAGCAACTAAATTGATTTGCTTATAAATAAAAATGATCAAAGTCTAAAATAATCTAACTTGTCATAAGAACATATAGACTTGATATTACAATGAAGTAATTATACATTGTAGCCAACATAGAATTGAAGTTGTTTCTTGCAATAAATGTTGATCTTTCCAAAACCTTAATAGGAATTGAATTCTTCTATCCAATATAATATTCCTTGATAATCCATGATATCAATAAATATTGTTAAGAATTTTTTAGTTATTTCTTCATATGTAATTATTTTGGTACATGGTACAAAATATGCCATCTTGTTGAAACAATCTACTATTATAAACATAAAGTTATATAAACTTGAGATTAAAAGATCTTTGATAAAATTCATAGAAACAAAAGATCGTTATTGTTTTGGTATTGATAATGGTTGAAGAAGTCCATAAGGCCAATAATAAGGAGTTTTTGATTTTGAAAAAATATCACATAATTATATAAAGTCTTAATTGCCTTCCACATTTGATGCCACCAAAAATCTCTTAGTATTAATATTCAAATCTTGAATTCAAATTTTAATAAAGACATGTTCTAATGGCATTGGTAACAATTTAAAATACGTGTTTATATAAATTATTCAAGATTTTTGTGATTTATATACAAAATGACTAGATTAGATGCTATTTCCAAATAATGGTATTATTTTAAAAATAAATATATGATTTCAAGAATTTTTTTTGTTGTGGATTTTTAAATTAACCTTGACTATTAAGAATTTTCTTGAATAAAAAGATATTAGATAAAATTTGTCATTTACTCTCATTTAGAAGAATACCACACTGAAAACAAAGTCAAATAATTTTGTTTTTATAAAAAATGGATTAGAAAATTTTGATACAATATAAGATTAATACAAACATAAAAGTTGCTTTCAAATCTTCGAATATTACTTCAACTTCTTTATTCCTCTTAAATTTGTCTTTATAAGTCAAATGTATAAGTAAAGCTGCAACTTAAAAATATTCTTTGATGTAGATCCATTAATTATTGCAAATTCCAAAAGAAAATGAATGTCCTTTATTATTCTTAAAATCCTCTGATTAATGATAGAAAAAAATGTTTTAGGATCCATTATAAGACTATTATTTGAAATGATGTATTTTAAGTAATCAACTTAAATTGTATAAAATATGCACTTATCTATCTTGACATATGGTCTTGTATCTTTATGTTTTTATAATATATAATAAATATGAAATTTATATTTTTTATATTTTTATAATAAATTATTTTTTAAAAAAATAATAAAAAATAAAATTATCTATTTTTTTAATAAAAATATTCATTAGATATTAAAAATTAACTTATATATTTTTGAATCCATGAAGTATGATATTATATTTATAATATCTATATTTGATTTAAATATATTAACTTTTATTTATTTATTTATTTTTATGCATATTTTTACTTTTTATAGATCTATTTATATATATATATATTTAGTTAATTTAATTAATTAAATAATCTTAATATCAAGGATAAGAGATATTTCTTCTTGATGGTGATCTTATTGAATCTTTAGAAATCTACATACATTTGCAATGACATGTCTTTTTTCTTCACAAATAACATAAGAATTCTTATTGGAGATTTTAAATAATAAATGAAGTTCTTAGCCAAGTTCTTATCAATGTATTCTTTAAATATAATTGATTTATTTTGTGATAAGTTATAAATTGTTCAAAATGGCAATTGATTTTTTTTCTTGAAGTTCAATTGAAAAATTACAAGGATGATGTTATAAAAGAATATTTGCATTTTTTTTTCTTAAAAACATCTTAATAATTCTTATATCAACTTTAAATATATCTTGGAGTCTTTTTACAATCAAAAATGAATGTGACATAAATAATAAAAGGTGATCTTTCTTTTGTAGCATGTATAATAACTCTTGACCTACCAATATGGATTTGGTTGTACTAAGCTTATTGATTTTTACTTGGTTAAAAGAAGTTTAGATTATATTATGAAAAAATTTAAAATTACAAGAAATCAAGTCTATTCAAGGATTATATTTTTGTAGCCACAAACAACCTAAAATAACTAAATTGAAGGAAGATTTAATAATATTAAATATTATTAAGTTATTATCATGATTAGTTACTATATCTAGAAATATAGTTTCATAAATAACATCTCCTAAAGATAAAAAAAAATGACCATCTATGACTTCTACATGCTCAAGATTAATATTTTTGACCAAGGATATTGCTTGTTTTTTAACAAATTCTTTGTTTATTGTATAAGCTGAGGTTCTTTGATCGAATAAGATAAAGGCTTTGTAATATTTTTGGTCCTAAACAAATATCCATTATAAAATAAGCTAAAAGATGGGAAGAGAGAATAAGACCTTTATTAGAAGTTGCAAAAGATTCTATTTGTATTGTCCCTATTAAAACTAAACAGACTTATTTTCTAATACATTGTCTTCTTTAGTAAGCATACTCATCATTTTATGATTGCATTGTCTCTTTTGACAATGTTGAACAGTGTGCTTAGATTGTCCACAATATAAATGTAATCTTTCTTAATAATGTCAATTCTTTTCTTATTCAATGAGAAGTTTGAAACATATTGTATCAATTTGCATAAATTTTGATTTTAATAAATAAGTTTTTTAAAACTTCGAAATTGTCATCAAGACTTGATTTATTCATCTTGACTCCAATACTTATTCTTGAAGTATTTCAAAAAATCAATTATTACATGCAATGACTTAAGCACTAAATAATTTCAATGATTTTGATTTTGGCATGTCAATAATAAGTCTTTGACATTATTTTTTAATTTATATTAAAATTAATTGATAAAGATTTTGTTATTCCAATCCACATTATAAAGAAGGTTTTGGAATTTAGCAGCATGTATAGTAGTTGATTGTAATCTTTGTTTTTAAATATAGGAGTTTTATCTTTACTATATTTTTTGAATCAGTTTTTCTAAATGTGGTTATAAAAACTTCTAAAAATAAATTAAATTCATATAAAAATGGTGAATCTTTTTCTATCAAAGGCACAAACTAAGAAAGAATATATTAATATTATATATATATATATATATATATATATATATATATATATATATATATGCATAAAGTAAATAGTCTACAATCTTTAAAGCACAATAAGAAAAATAAGATGATATACTTATTTCTAAAAAAAATAAAATAGTGGATTATTTTTCTTGTCAAATTATTAAAGAAATGAATCACAAACAATCAAAATATCAATAGACTCTTGTGTCACTCAAAGATAGTATAATATTAAAAACTAAAATGGTTATTGCCAAAGAAGGTTTTACTCTTACTTCTATATATATTATCTAATTAAGAGATATATGGCAACATTCTATAGAACCTTTGATATGTATCCAACTTGTGGAGTACATATCTAACTTCTAAGACAAGTTTTTTATGTATATGCCATATGACCAACTTCTGCTACATGACCAACTTATATCACATATTGCCAACATAAGTAACATGTGGCTAACTTATTTGCATAGGTTTTAAGTTTATCATCAAAATATTATCAAATTTATTTATTTTTATTTAGTTCTACATAATTCTTCTTATTTAAATAATTATAAGTATTGATTATGTCAATAACACCGTGTCTAATAAAAATCTAATGATTTTTTGAAAAGTTTGGTTGTCTAAAGCAAAGTAGATAGAAAATATAATACATATATAAAAAATATAATTACAATTTTAAAAATTCAATAAATAATAATAATAATAATAATAATAGTAATAATAATAGAATTAAGTAAAAACTACCTACATATATTATAAAAATATAATTTCAAGATGTAATAATATTTAAAATCATATAATAGATAACATATTTATTTTATTGTAATTATTTATTTTAAAAAATAATTAATAAGATATTATAAAGATTTATATTTTTGGATGTAAAAATTATATTTTAATTAAAAATATCTTAATTTATAATCAAAATTTGTAATAATACTAAATAGCTCTTTTACTTAAAAGCTTCTAATCAAGAAAAGAACAAAATAAGGATATTCTTTGATTAATTACTTATTTATAATTGTTAGGAGAATTATAAAGCTTGTAATTCAAGATGCCATTAAAGATTGGAAATTTATAAGATTGAATCACTTAGCAATTTCAACAAAAAAACCAAGTCAATATTCAAATAGTTTAAGGTTAAAATTTGAGACAAAGTTATAATTTCAGGTGTTTAAATCCTTAACAATTTCTACAAAGTATATTTAGTTTAGAGATTGATTGGGCCAAAACACCAATTTATTAGCATTATTAAAATACTTTCAAATCCTAATTAACCAATTTGATTTAATTAAGCATAGACATCTTGGGCATTCTATTTTTTTTCTATATATATATATATATATATATATAGAATAATTTTTTTGTCTTTTATGGCTTTTTTTGTAATATTAAAGTTTTTTTGGATATCAATAGTATAATTTTTATTTCATCATAGTAATTAGAAAGTGATATATATATATATATATATATATTTATATTCAAGATATTTAAAAATTATAATTGATTAGAAATTAGTACATCCTAAAATTTACATTTAAATTTTACATTTACATGTAAATAAGCAGTCCAAAGTGTTCCACTATGATTATGCTCTCACTCAATCCCTAGTGAATACAAAACGAATCCCTAGTGAATACAAAACGAAATCATGGTAAAACAAATATTATATATTGTCAAACGGCATTTTAAATTAATTATAGTAATTTTAAAGTTAAGAAACTCATGTAAGAAAAGAAGATTTTCAAGTGATTCTTTAGAATAATATATGAATTAATTGTTTAAATTAAAATTTACTCTTCAAAATTAAACTTTGACATAGTGATGTATTTGACAAAGACATTAAGAGTTGATTTAGAGTACTTATGGACTATAGAATGTAAGAAATATAAAGTAGTCTAATGAACCGCCTATTCATTTCTTTTTTATCTAGGAGAATCTGTAATTTAAATCCAAAATAAAACAAGAAGAAAAGTTTATGCAGATAAGTTGATATAAAAATGATTGACAAGCATAAACTAAGTCTAATATCTTTATAATTTGTTCTCTATATATGCCTTGCATACCTATTAATTTTTTTTAAATAATTAAAATTTATAATTTAATCTAAATCAAGAATAGGTTCTGGACTTATATTGCTAATTTGATAAAAATGTGAAAAATTTAATAACTAACAAACACAAACTAAGTCTAGTACGTATATAAGTTGCACACTCTACATACAACAATCAATTCTTTTTTTGATTTTTGGAGTTTATACAAATCAAAAACATTTTGAATAAAACAACATATTAAATTTATAAATTAGCTTTAAGCTTAATACATTAATAACCATAGAAGGCATTTACTTAGAATGTATGTTAATAGATGTATATTATGATTTGACTAGTCATTTGTTCAGGATCATATATATATATATATATATCTAAAATCAAGGAATCTTGCAATAATAGATTTTAACTATTTTTTAATGTTTATGCTTTAAAAATATACTATGATCAATGACTATTCTTTTTACATATATATCCTTTTTAGTGTATAAAAATCATTATCTTTATTAATGTAATATTTTAGATACCAAAAGTGTTGCTGCAGTATACAAAATTTTAATGTTTTTGTGATTTTCATTTTTTTGATTGAATGGTTTAAAATGCACAATTTATTCTAATTCTTTATAAGCTAACATTTTATTTTATTTTATATATTTTGGAAAAGAAAGAAATTTTTAAAAAAGAAACAGATGCTACAATAATACTTAATGAGTGTAAAATAATATATCTTTCAGTTTACTGCAATGTGAAATATAAGGTGAGTTTCAAACGTAATTAAAAACAGATGCAAATTTTACACTGAGCATATTCTCCACTTCATTCAAATTCAAGTCACAGCAAATGTTATCCATGAATATATATATATATATATATATATATAAATAATATATATATATATATATATAAATAATATATATATATTTGCATTTATTTTATCGAAAAGTAAAATTTATTCTCATATCTAACCTCCATAATTTGAAAATATCTATTTAAAGAATACAATTAGAAAATATACAACATATGGGTTCAATACGTGAGAGCAAAACTTACGGGAGGACGGAAATACGTGACGAATACGGAATACATTCGTAACCATTCATCCAATATCTGGACAAGTTGAGTTCGAAGGGGAAAGCAAAAGGCAGGCGAAGCTTTTTCGGGCAGTGGGCTGGAAAGGACCTGCTGCCCATGGATGAAGTGTGTGAGTGGGGGGGGGGGGGGGGATGACCCGGCCCGGTCCGGGGTGGGTGACCCGCGGCGGATCAGGAGTTGGACAGGGAGGCCTGGCTTGCTTCGGCTTTGCGGAGGAGGAGGTTGCGTGATCTGCAGGAGGAGGTGCAGCACGCAGCGCCAGGGCTATGGGGCTGGGAATTGCTGTTGGCTGGATGGGAGTGACTGAGGCAGGCCCACAACTTCACAATTTCAACTTCGTTCACTTCCTTCATTCTTTCCTGCTTTCTCTCCTCCTCCTCCCCCTCCTCATCTTCTTTCTCTCATCCCCATCTATCTCATCTTCCCACTCTTGCGTACTCTGGTGCTAAATTGGTCCCCTTTTCTTTCAGTTCTCTCGGTGACTCCTTCCGTGTCGCTCCCGCATTTTGGAGCCAAATTTGGGATCCGTGTGAGAAGATTGGGCGTGTTTTTGTTTTCGTAGGGGTTGTGTGTTCCTGTACTTTGGAGGCGTTCGTGAAGAATTATGTGACAGGAGTGTGGTTTTTCTAGTCGTGGGTGTGGGTGTGGGTGTGGGTTTGGTGCGTGCGGTGATGTGCCCTTGCGGCCATGGTGTGACTGCCATGGCTTCAGCTTCTGCTGCGCCTGCACTGCAGTTGCATTCGCGTCTGTGCGCTTTGCCGTCCACCATCCCGCCCTCGTTACTGTGCTCAAGGATTTTGCATCCGCCCAATTCGGCCTCCGCGAGGTGCTCGTGGTCGCGTATCAGTTCCCCGCTGCTTGCGACTCCCCGGGAAGATGTCCGGAGTCTGGACCTGCAGGAATCGTCGTCGGAGCACCACCACCTCGCGTCGGAGAGCTCCACGAATGGCTCAGCGAACGGAGTAGTGAATGGAGCAGCAGCTCCGAGGATTGGCAGAGTGCCGCAAGGGGGTGCAAACAATCTGGGCATCTCTCATAATTTTCCTTCTAATGGAGCAGTGAATGGAAACGTCAAATTCCAGGACAAGCAGGAGCTGGAATCGGGCAGGCATTTGGTGGAAGAAATTTTGTTCACACAGGAATTTTTAGATACGTTAGATTATGACTCATACAGCACTGCTCGTGTACTCCAAGAGACTGCCACTCATGGTGGAAAACCCACAACCTCGCCCAAGGTTGTGGCTAAATTAGATTCAGTTGCTTCAGAGAAGCTCTTAAGACCGAAATTGTTGAGCACCGATGTGGTTAAAAGTGTGCGTAAAAAGGGTAGAGTCTTGCCCGCCTCGATTGCTGAAGTCCTTCCTTTAAAGCCTGGGACAAGCATCAAATTCTACATCGACTTGTACGCTTCATTGTTGAAGGCTGGCAGGTATTTTCAGGGCTATCGCTGATATACAACGCGATGAATGAAACAGTATTTTGAGAAACGTACTTGGCATGCATGGATATCTCATGGGCGACCGAAGTTAAACCTCTAACTCTGAAGCTCCCAGTTGACTATAGAACTGTAATTTTCTTCGATTGCTGTGGATTTAGTTGGTGAATTGAATGTGGCAGGATCAAAGACTGCCTTGTTCTCTTAGGAGAGATTAACAAGTTGGATAAACTCAGCCTGATGAAGGTGAGCACTCCACTCGCACTGATCCTTGTTTCGCAGTCTCTCTCTCCCTCTCCCTCAATTTCTGAAATTGCGGGCGTACACGGAAACGATGCTTCAACTTGGCGATGGAGATCCTTACGCTATTCCAATCCTGTGTCTTGTAGGTGAACCACTCAAAATTTTACGAAGTGTGTAAAACTAAGGGAACAGTGGAGGATGCTTTCACTTTTGCGAAGATTATGCGGGTCTATTCAACACTGCAGCATTACACGATGCTCCTTTCTGTCTGTTGTCATGCTAAAGATATTGATGGTGAGGGATTCGATCACATACCTAAGTACTTTGAATCAATCTGCAAGTAGTCCGTATCGAAGAGAATGTGGTCAAGTAGCAGTTGCAAGTTGCAACAAATTGGCGTGAAGGACCCCATTTGACTAAGATTGCTTCAGCCAATGATTGTTTAGCGGTTCGAGTTCAGCACATGTTCTCCTCTTTTGAATTTTGTTATCTTTGATTGTTCTTTTTGGCAATGGGTCGCAAATAATCTGTGATTATTGTGCGTCAGGAGCATTGCGAGTGCTTGCTCTGGTAGAGAGCAGGGGTTTTAAAGCAGACTGCGTTTTCTACACGACACTCATCTCTGCCTGCTCCAAAGCTGGAAAAGTGGACCTTCTCTTTCAGGTGTGAATGGACGAACCTTTTCTCAGGAGCTATATCGTACGAGTTTGGTGAGGTACAGGAAGTTCGGAATTGAGGAAAATTCAGGTCTCATGAAAGAGGGCATTATATGATTTTTAGTGTCGCAGCTTCCAAGGCCCAAATTTTAGATAAGTGACGGTCGCAAGTGATCGCAACGGGGGGGCTTGTTTCTTAAAACTCCATTGTCCTGTGCCAGATTTTGCACGAGATGGATGTAGCAGGAGTTGAAGCTAACGTTCATACATTTGGAGCTATGATTGATGGGTGTGCTCGCGCCGGCCAACTTCCCAAAGCTTTTGGGGCGTATGGTATAATGATCTCGAAGGTATGTTTTGGATCAGGATAAGTAATGCTCCAGCCGACCTGAAGTAGCTGAATCATAGAGTCAACTTTGTTACTTCAGCATTGTCTTCTTGGGGACAAATCAACATGAATAATAACCCAGTTCTTTGTACACAGGATGTGAAGCCCGACCGTGTTATATTCAACACGCTTATAAATGCCTGCAGTCGGGTTGGAGCTGTCCAGAGAGCGTTTGATGTTTTGGCGGACATGAAATCAGAAGCAACGCCAGTGAAGCCAGATCACGTCACATATGGTGCCCTCATTTCGGCTTGTGCTAAAGGGGGAGAGGTGGGCAGAGCTCTCGAAGTCTATCAGAGCATGCGGGAGAACGATGTTAAGGGATTTCTTGCATGCTACACTGCTGCTGTGCACGCATGCAGCCAGAAAGGCGACTTGGATTACGCTCTTGCTATCTACGATGATCTTTTGAAGGACGGAGTGAAACCAGATGAGGTATCTCAAGCCTATCATAACTCATCAAATCACCTCTGATGGATGTGAGTTTCACCTTGCTTAGGGTGTTTTGAAGTCACCAGTTGTAGATACTTCGGAATGTTTTTAGAATAAGAATATATGCTTATCACAACAGGTTGTATTTCACTGTGAGCAGGTATTCTTCAGCGCGTTGGTAGATGCTGCTGGTCATTCCGGCGATGTTGACAAGGCATTCAGCATACTCGACATCATGAGGAAATCGGGCATGAAGCCTGGAGCGGTTGTCTATAGTTCTCTCATGGGGGTTTGCAGCAACGTAATCAACCAACGCACCTTATCCCCTTAATTAGACATTGATGAAAATAGAACGTCGTACTGCAGGGCACCTATCGAGCGTGTGTTTGTTAGTTCCTCTATTAGTAGTTGAGCTTTATGCTGTAGATTCTTATACTTGAATGGGGGGAAGTTTAATCGCTACACCTTCTGGTGCTTTATGCAGCTAGGAGAATGGGAAAAAGGATTAGAAGTTTATGAAGGCATTCGTTCCTCCAAATTGCGGCCCACTGTGTCAACTTATAACGCTCTTATGACTGCTCTTTGTAAGTTAAAGATTGTTGCTTTACTCCCAAATTTTAATGCCTACTTTATAAGTTTGAATTTTTTTGTTTGTGTTTTTGTTTTCTGTTTTGTTTCGTTTTGTTTTATTTTATTTGCAGAAGTCTCTTTCACTTATATTGCAGAAACTCTGCTCAGTTATGCACGGGTCTCTAGCATCTTGGTAATTGACCAACTTGCACTACCGACTTCTGGTCTTGTCTCTTAGGTGAAGCAAAACAATTCGACCGAGCACTTTCTGTTCTGAACGATTTAAAAGATGCAGGAAGAACGCCTAACCAAGTTTCTTACAGCATCTTATTGAAGGCTTGTGAAAGGTGAGAAGCTCTTCGGCATCGTTATTGCATTTCGATCTTCACTATCTCAGTGGGAATAAGGAAAGGTTTTTCTCTTACGTGGAGAGTTGCGAAAAGTCTTCACCGCATTTACTCCACCTGATTCGAGAGATCTTAGAATTTGTAGCAAGCGCAAGTGTACTACAGTAGATAGTTGTTGACATTCCTTGGGGAATGTGCAGGGAGGGCAAAGCAGACATGGCTCTTGATCTATACACAACCGCAAGGGCAGAGGGTATTAAGCCAAATCTAGTCATCTGTGACAGCATCATAGGTACGTGTCACGAGCTCGAATTTTTGTTTAATTTGATAACTGGATTTCTAACCTTTAACATTTGTCTGGAGAAAGGAATGCACTCTCAACTGGGACTCTGACATAGTTTTGTATTTTGAGGTAGCCTGATGGGTTTTCGAATTATGGTTTTTCTACATTTTTGTTTTCAGAGATCATATCTTGTTCCGATGCATCAGTTCAGATTTCCCTGTTATGTTAAATTTCCTGCGCATATAGGGTCCCTATTTTGTTGTGTGTGATCAGAAGATGAGGCTTGTGGTTGTAGTTTCAGGTCACAGTCCAACACCGAGAGACCATGTTTAATACAAAACACATCTGTTGAGCATTGTGAATTGGCTTTTGAATTTTGTCAACAGGCCTGTGCTTACAACAGATTCAAACCTCTGTGGCGGCACCTCTAGTTTCATGGTCTATCCTTCCTCCTGCAGATAACAGCAACATCTCCTCACAACAGCAATGGTAAATCTTGTCTTGTAGACCATGACGGATGCATTGTTGCAAGTTTTTTGGGTTTCAAATTCAAAGCACCATTGGAATCCATTTGAAGTAGATAAACGTTGATTGATAATACTTCTATGCACAATTTCAAACTTCTAAAACTCACCAAAATCACAAATTTTGATGTTCTAATATCGGGGGTAATTTGCTGATTTTCAATTTTTTTAATACATGGATAGAATTTGTATTTTGTGATAAGCCGCACATACATACAAACATTACCGACATCAACTTGGTGATGGAACTATATGACAGGGTGACATGGGCTCTCACTATTTACCGTCAAACCATAGAGGCGGGTGTCTTGCCGACAGTCGAGATCTTATCGCAGTTGCTAGGCTGCCTGCGCAAGCCGGAAGCATCAACGACCCCGGTGAGTATCTTTGACGACAAGGCTGCTGCATTTCTTGGGCAATCTCAACCAGCAACCTCAACATCTTTCGACGGATTTGGCATCTACGATCCTCGTGCTCTTGCTCTCTTTGAGGTGCCTTTTCTCCCTTCTTTACATTTCCACATTAACACTTCCTAAATCTACATAGTCGTTGAGGTTTAACAAAGGAACCGGTATCCTGAAATAGCTTGTATTACGTTAAAACAGAATCCTATCAGAAATTATTGCATCAATGCATAGTTTTAATTGCATCTTGAACATCAACAATGAAGCATGCAGCTGTCCAATGCTTAGCAGGTTCTTGTCTATTTTCCTGTCTCGATTTTCTAATTACTCGTCTTTATCACTCGGTATTACAGGAGGCGGCAGCGCTTAAAATTGCGCCGATGTTTTCTTACAATACGCTTCAGCCAATTGTCATCAATGCAGAGGCCATGCCGGTATTTGCAGCTGAGGTACTCTGTTGCTACCTATCCTCCCCTCACGTTAAGTAGACCACGATATGTCTTCGCTTTCAGGCGTTCACTGCACTAAATGACGTAGAGACGCTACCCGACAGACGATTGTTATTACATTCTAAGGTTCTGTACGGAAGGTGGATAGTAGGAGTAGTTTCCAATCCATGAAATAGTTACTAACGACGCGCTTATTTCAATGTATTCTCCAATAGGTCTGCTTGCTCACCGTGCTCAAGAGCCTCAAACATCGACACGCTGCAGGTCACATCCCATTCCACTAAAATCTCTAAAGCATGTTCATTTGTATCGTCTTTTGCAGTAGCACTCTAAGGGTTCATTCAACACGGTAGGATAGAAATTTGAATGTTGCTGATGAGGTAACTGCAATTTTCTAATTTTAGTTCAGGATATTCTGAACAATGTTGTGTGATTTGTCTGTTTGTGGTTTTGTAGGTGCACGTGTACCATCGGTAAAGATCAAACTTCATGTAGAAAAGAAAGAGTCTTACAGGCCAAAAGGAGGCTTAATTTCCATAAACATCGCTGACAGGTGCGTAATGCGCTCTCTTACTCAAGTAGCCCATTATAAACATCCACCCTCCACAGCTACTAATGCTATTTAAGGCTTTCTACTCTATTTTTCGTAATCGCTACCCTTTTGGAATAAATGCTAACTGCACAAGCAAAACTTTTATTTTAGTTTCTAGCGTGTAATCGAATACCATTTGGCTGACCCTGGTTGCCTTGCAAACAGGACTGGCCAAGCAGTAGCCGCACTGTTGAGGAGACTACGGCTGAAAGCTCAGGGCAGTGCAAGCTCAGGGGAGCTACGTCTCACGATGGTCGAGATCCAGAAGTGGTTGAATCCAAAACCAAGCACAACGCCAGCTTTGAAGACTCCGTTCAGCCGTCTCGACAAAAGTAGCTCCCCCTATTCTTTGCTGGCGAAGACAATAGCTGACCAGCAGCGGGCCATTCGACTGGGCACGGCGGCTCCACACCACCGAGTCTTGGACGTGTTGACGGACATGGATCTGAGGCAGGGAGGATTTCACCAGGAGGATTTCTGTTTGGGTCCCGACGTGGGTCCTCGCGGCCGAGGCTCGCTGAAACGATCCAGCAGGTTCTGAACATGTGGGACCCCTCCACTAATTCGTCGAAGCTTTTTCTAGGTAGAAAGTAGAGGTCGGCACAGCGTCTGGATGTCTGAAATGGTTTTCCAACCACAAATCATCTTGACATCGACGATGATGTTTCTTTGCAAAAGTATCGACGCATCACAAACGAAAATATGAGACCCTGCTTCTGTCCACTTCACAAGGCCTGAATTGGGCGGTTGCTGCGGTCTCAAAATCTTGACAGCTTCAGTGTCTTGTGGGTTGTCACTTGCAAAGACCGATTGTTAGGTACCTGTAGAACCCATTCACACGGTGAGTTCTGCAGCCAAGTATTTGATTTTGACTTTCCTACTGCTTCTAATGGTTTTCATGTCCTGGATATGAAATTTGCAAATGAGAAGTTTCCAAATGAACATCCTTCCGAAGCCAAGGTAAGTCCAGATTAAGTTTCAGTTCAGGATAGAGAACGAGACAGAATGAGTAGTCCCTCTCTCATTCAATCATACATACATACACACACTCACACACACACACACACTTATTTTTATGTATATATGTATGTATGTATCTGTATGTGTGTTTCTGGCTCAACCTACTTCCCCTCATTAAAATTCTCCAAAAAGAAGAGGTCCAAAGTTTTCCCCTTGTGTAAACATGTTTCAAAGGAAAAACATGTGACATGTTCTCATCGATGTCTCCATTATAGAAGAACCATTTCCTGAACTATACTTTCACTATCCATTCCAATCACGTAAGTGTCTTCATATTCGCTAATATTACGTTACATGAAATCTAAATCCTTAAGTACAAACTAATGGGTCACCAAATAAGTCGCCCAACTATAGGTTGAAAGTCTTGATATTCTCCCACCAACTTCCCTGCTTAACCTGCAGAAATGGACCATGTAAATTATTATGTTACTATTTATTTAAAGCATAGGTGGTATGCTGACTGAGCTACTTGTTCCAGGACACTGGCTATTCATCCACAAGGCATTCAGGTAGATCGATCTTGTGCCATCATCCAACAATGACCACCCTGCGATTCACCGAAGATTCACCTCACCGACAATGCAACCACGGAATCTGTCCTTTCCACTTTTCGAACCTAGATGCTGGGCAAGCAAGGATGATGACGCCGTAGAAGACCCACCGATCCACAAGTTGAAGATCTGAACCACCATTGCTCCCTAATCCAGAGTCAGCGGCAACTCTTCATCTGCAATCAGCGGAGTGCCTCAGCAGCGACTGATTCAACCGCTCCGCCCATCAGCACCACTCGTGCACATGGGTATGCTCGGATGCAAGTTTTTCCTGCTGTGAAGTGTTTCCTCAAACGATGTAAATTTCAGCAGTGAAAGTTCCAGAGAACCACCACCTTTGCGGTGGTTACACATCCACGCTCTTATTCTCTTGGACGTATCGGCAGCTTACACATTCTCTATTTGATGTTGTCCCTGGTGGCAATCGATGGATACATTGATTTGCAAGCTTATCACTAATAAGTGGAATTACATGTTATGGTATGCCATTTATATTATTTATTTATTTTTTCACTCAGCTGACAATACCCAATACAAACAAAGACCAAATTTGGTCTAGAAATGGTCAAAGAATGGCAAAAGTTAATTTTAAAGAAAGAAAGCTTGTCCAAGGCATTGAGAGAAATGCAATAAGAAGGTTAGTTATATTGTATAAAAACTATTATTTAAAATTCCTTACTTCTAACTATACTAATGACATGAATTATGACAAAATTCTAAAAATGATAATATACTCTTATATTACAAAAAGAGAAAAAAATAGACAACTAAAAGTTAGATATAGAAATGAAATTATAATGGCTATTGCCAAATATAAAAGAACTAAGAAGTCTTGAATCAAGATAGAACACAATAAAGATGTTGTGATGCAAATTTGGCTTTACAAGTGTTTAGAGATGATTGATAGGTTGAAAACTTGGCAAACAAGTTGGTCACATGTACATATTAACCATTTATTTTACAAGTTAGCCACATGTACATGTTGGCCACTTCTAGTACAAGTTGGTTATGTGGCGCATATGTAGGAAACTTCTTTTGCAAGCTAGATACATATTGGATGACCTATAGAACGTCTTTATGTAGTTTCTTAATTAGATAGTGTATATGGATGCAAGAGTAAGGCCTTCTTTTTCTATCTTATTAATGCCATTCTTGTATTCTTATCGTAATTCAAAATTCTCTAGTTTCTTTGTATTTGAAAAGAACCATTATAGTTTTTGTTTTATATCTATCATAAATTTATCAATCTTACACAAGATATTGTCAAAATTATCTTTATTTTTTATTAAAAAAATTTCATGTGAAATTGTAGTGGATTTTAAGATTACTAAAATTGAGACTAAATTTTGTAAAAATATTGCATTAGATATTATTATATTAGAAGAAATTTCTTTTGACTTTTTGTTTTTTTAGGATTTTTAATTTATAGTTTAGAAAAAAAAAAATTGTACATTTTTGCTAAACAAGAATTTTAAAAAATGGTATTTTTTATTAAAATCATCTTCTAAAGATACTATTTGAAAATATTTATAGTATTTCTATTTAAATTAATATGCAAAATATATTTTTTTTAACCTTCAAATCTATTATTCAATTTTACAACAATTTGTAGCATAAATAAGTTAGTAGTGATAGATGTACTAAAGAATTTTTATTTAGATCACACTCAAAAGGATTTGAATTGAATTTAAAAAAATTATTGAATAAGTTGTATTTAAGGTTAATGAAGTAATTTGCTATAGTTCTAAAAATATAAGAAAGAATAATTCCAAATATTGTATAGTAATAGATCATAAAAAGACCTGAAAAGTCAAAGTTGCTATAACCAATCTAATTATTAGAAAACTAAAGACTAACATAATAGATTGTAATTATTATCCTATTTGCTATTATGTTTGTTTAGCTATTAATCATTATATTAAAAAAAATTAGTCTGATATCTATTTATTTTTAAAAATACGTTATGCAGTATAAGGACCTAAGAATTTGAAAATAATATTTATCCAAATACAAGATTTTTTTATACTTGAAGTAATATAAGGTTGCATCAATAACTCAAATAGTGCATAGACTAGAAGAGTTTGTATTTTATTTTTATTTTTTAAACAACTTGTAGCATATGTGAATTACTTATTAGATTACAAAATCATATAGATAATTCTTAAAAAAATTCTAAAATATTTCTTTAGTTTTATTTATATTTATCCTTTATATTTATAAAATCTTAAAATAGAAATATGATATAGTATAATTTATCAAAATCACTTCTAAATAATATTCCTTAGATGATAGAGAGAAATTAGAACATATCAAAAAATAATGATAATAAATCATCTTAATATAAAAGAATAATAGCTCATAACAAATAATCTACTTAGAAATTTCTAAAGACTTATTATTCTTCTAAAGAATTCTTCAATACCTGCAATAGGCTCAAATATTCTTAGAACAGTTGTAGAGATGGAATACATGTATTTTATCACTTGGATAGATTGCATATAAGCTTAAATTCCTTGATAGAAGAAAATATCACAATATATAGGATCAAAGGAGATAGTGCTTTAATTAAACATCTTCTAATCAAACTATCTATCAATCTATACAACACTAAACTAAGACACTTTTACAAAATAAATAATTCTATCTCACAAATCTCAAGATTTTACAACAAATTTAAGTTACATAAACACCTACTACATATAGAAGATATTTTATGATGAGAATAAAAATATTTATCCATTTTTACAAAACTTTTTGTAAAGACTAAGTCTTTCATAGATAATTAAAAATACTATAAAATCATAAGGTGTAATAGAAGATGCACACAAAATATTCCACATTAAATTTAAATATAAAGCAAAGAAAGCTATTTTTAAAGATTATCCAAGATAAACTTAAAGATTTTTAATCATAGAAATGAAAATTCTTTAATATACATATTACAACAAAATAGATGAAGTTTGGAGATAATAATTGAAAGTTATTTTTTAATGGCATGAAAGAGAGAGAGCTTTAGTATATTATGTTTAAAATCTAATATGAAGATAATTTTTTTCAAAAAAGCTTATAAAACTAAGTTTATTATTTCATGAATCTTTTGCTTTTCTATATGTAAAGCAACTAACTTCAAATGGATCTATGACTCGACTTCTTTAATACTTAATAATATTTTAGGCTAAATTATGCACTTAATTAATGTAAATTTGATTATATAAATTAGTTCTAATAAAATCAAAAAAACTATTAAAGAAATAGTTAAAAGAAAAGACTTTAGTTTACATTAAGTAAAGGTGGAATTTCATACAATATTTTGAAATATTATTTGTAAATACTTCTTATAAAACCTATTCAATTTTTTTAAAAAAAAAGAATTGATTGAATCTTTTTAAATTCATCTATCATAATTATATTACCTTTTTTTCTATACATTTTGTTCTTAATATTGTCTTGGTTATTGAAAAAACCATCAATTAGGCTTAGATGCTAAAATCACTTTTTGAGGTATTCACAAAACAATGAAGATAAATGATTTCTGTACTACATATTTTGTCATTGAAAAAGGTGTGAGAGAAGAATGCCTTCTAGCACTTATATATCCATTATAATATATAAAATGTTAAATGAGGCCATCTAAAAGATACTTAGGATTAATAGGAGAAAAATTATTTATCATGATAGAAAGCAATAGGATATAGTTATTAGAAGTTGAATTGTAAGTAGGCCTCTCGTATGCAAAAATCAAATCCCTTTCAACATAAGCACCAAGAAATAAACTTCTATTTTTGAGTTTGGCTTTTCTTTTAACTGACATGATATGTAATTTTAACCTCAAGCATACAAAGATGTCATGTTCATTTGACTTATTTGGCACTACAAAGTAGCCATAAACAAATAGAAGAAATTATTTAGTTCCAACATTGTTATTAATTATCAATTATGTTTTTTTTTTTCACAACAAGAGACTATCTTACATACATTTGGAATTAGACTAAGATAAAATGTATTTAAGACTAGGCTACCTTGGTCACGTACAAGTTAATCTTTAACTTTGAAAAATGGGATCTACATTAAGATTTTACCTAAAAACAAACTATTTTTGTGCCACCATTATGTTCTTGATTTGAAAATTTCTCTAGCATTTAGTTTGTTATAGAACTGTCTATATATAGATATTTACATTCAACGTATTAAATTCCTCTTTGAATCTAAGATTCGGATTAATAACCATACTAAGAAAATGATATGATGGGTCTCATCAAATATAGACATTCTTTAGAAGGTCACTTGCAAAAAGATCAAAATGAATTCCAAATACAAAATCTTTCTAAAAAGATAAATCAAAACATTCCTCTTGTATCCACTTGCCTAGGGTGTTAGGATATATGTTGTAAACTGCAACACCAACATCATTACCATTGCTGAGGTAAACTTCACAATTGAGAGTTCCATTGTGCCAACTCAGGTGCTTCCTAAATTTGTGGGATTCCCTTTCACGTTGAAGAGGAGTCTCACCAGAACACGTCATATACAGCCAACAAGACGATGGACTGAAAAATGCAAACGCTTTGACTAGGTAGCTGTAACTCATTGATCGTCGGAACTGTCGATGGAAATACCACCCAGCAGCTGAAAAAACGAATTGCGAAGATGTACTCCCACCACATATAAAAAAAAGACGGGCCTGGAAAACGCCATTTTGATATGTAAATCAAATTGTATTTGATAAGGCGAAACCAAAACTAGGATTTGGAAGCAGACCCTACAAAGCCGCTGGATCTTCTCCTCCCACTGCTTCAATTTTAAGCAGAACTTGAGGCATTGGAATCCCCGTCCAATACATGTGGATCTTTCCACTCAGCGATTTTACTTAAGAATAAAAGCCAGGAATGAAGATAACGAAGACGTGCTCAATTAAGGCGCTACCTAAGATAGTATTTAGCTCACAAAATAAAAGCTATACAACGCAGCCTGGTTCTTGCTATCATCCATTGCATAATACTATATATTCTGTGCACTCAACTACGATTAAAAGTTTCCATCTTCCGAGAGCTTGGTCCAGCAACACGAGTATTTGCCCGCTGAGGAAGGTGTGTAACTCCACCAAGTAGCGTTGGAACTGGTCTTCGAAAATATATCCAACCATATCCTGCCCAGGACAGTGTCGTAGTTGCCACCACTGACCAGCTGCATCAATTCATAAACACACAAATGTCAACACAGACAAGATTAGTCTCGCAGGGAGGTTTCGCATCAGTATAAATAGTAACATAAGAATACCGATGAAACTTTTGAAGATACATGCACGTGAAAAATTAAAGGAATCAATGCACAAAGTGCTGATTATAAAAACTTGACGAAGGAGATATCTAGATGGTTATCTACGCTACAATTGCAATGTCGCATGAAAACCCACCTCAGAATAGGGACAAGGGAATATGTATCCTGCATCTCCAAGGCTGGGAGCATGAGAGCAGTGCCAACAAGCGCCAGTTGCAGCACCATGTTCACCTACTCCACAAATCAAGCTCTTTCCACATTAACTTAAAATTCAAGTTTGCATCACTACTGCTGTAGACTAAAAAGCTGGGTCACTTAATAATCATCGCCAGAAAGATAAAATGAGCAACTCTTAGAAAATATTTGTCGATCATGCATTAGTTTAGAGATTGCACTAAAAATTGCCGTGCGCCCACACTGCATCCCTACTAATAGAGATGGCAGAGTAACTCGGAACTTATTTGGTCCAATGAAAGAAACAAGAGAACATATAATTTTGATAATTGAAAGAGAGTGAAACTGCAAAGTACTACCCGTATTGGTATCCAAACAAACTGAAAGACTACCTTGCTTATATATAGAGGTTCAACCTTCTCCACACCACCTTTTCCAATTTTGAAGAACTCCCCCAAGCCTGACCACTGTTCATGAACGCCAGACATCAGAGTTTGACTATTCTTGATGGGAAAATTAAATAGCGCAGGGCACAATGCAGAGGTTGAAAACATTGACACGCCGAGCAAAGTCTACCTTGCTTATCCAGTTCGGTCAAGAGAAATCACCTGCCAACGGAGTGAATATGCACGGTAGACGAAAGAGCCAACCAGAAGGGCACCATCACGGGCTACAATCAGCGCAACCAAGGCAGCTGCCAGGCTAGAGATCCGTCAGTATTGATCAACCGTGAGATCCTGTTGATTTCATAAAAACTGAACAGAAAAGCTATACACCGACGTACCCCGTGTCTAACTCAAAGCTTCCAACATACCATATCAACATTATGAGCTACTCCATTCTAGAGACCGCAGATATAGCCAACCTAAAAGGTAGTCACACAACCAACTGTTATGATATAGTGTTGCTAATTAGACTAGCCTCTAAAAACTTTACCTATTACCAATTACCACTGATAAAAATCCATCACAAAGCCACTTACGGTGTAAGAGACCAGAATATGCCATTGATACAGCCACACAACCCACTAGAACCTGCATTGATATGGCAATGAGATCATCACAGGTACTCAATTTGTGCTTAAGAATAAACAAAACAGCTATCCTTGGCATCTCGTGATATTCCAGAGAGGGCCTTACGAATCTTTTAATTTAACAGAGAGTCGGCACCCTACAACTCACAACGTATATCTCATTGCCAAAACTTATCAGTTAGGAGCATATAAACATATCCAAAAAAAATACTTCCCCAATCAGAACCTCTGTTTGTCTGCTGAACAAACCTTATCAGCAAGTGGATCAAGGTAAGATCCGAGAACTGAGTTGATCCCCTGCCGACGCGCCATGTAACCATCGAGCTGCAACATCCACCGCAAATCTGAAGTCAACCTCTATTATGATAATCAAAATTTTCACCCTCTGGTACAGCTACGCGTGACTTTCAATGCATCGTGATCAATCGTGATTTATCCTGCGAAGCCCATGTAAGACGAAAATTTCAAGCTTTGTAAAATTATGAATATGACAGAATTCCAATACATACATATACGCAAAGAGAAACCAAGGAATAAACCAAGATGCTTACCCAGTCACTTCCTCCGGCTATCACTAAGCAGATAAGCGCAGATTTCGCTAAACCCTGCGTTATCATCCTGCACCGGCATCCACTTTCATCAGGCAACACTCAATCCATAGTCAACCCACGATCCTCTCCTTCAATGAAGACTGAAATGTCAGTGAGAGAAATAAACTAGAGGAATACCTTGGCTGGGTCAGCAACATTCTAATGGGCATGTCCAACCGACTGTCGGCACATGCTTTGCACGTTTTAATGAGAGTAACATACAAAACCTCCAGAGTAATATATCAAGCAAGAGGTCCTATTCATACAACGCTTACACTAAGGACGGATATCGCTGACTATTTCGAATGAATCCCTCTAAGTAACTATAGGACACACAGCCTCTATTTCTCTAGAATTCAGGTCGAGATGGGTTTACATTGTCTAGAAAATATATCTCTGAAATCGTTCCGAATGCGTGATTGGTGCGTTTTCCAAAAAGAATGATGAGGAAAAACAATCCTGGTAAGTAGATTATCTAAATAAAACAAATGGTTTATCATGAAAACTCTGAAAATATACCATGCTAGCAAGGGACCAGATAGAAGCCGACTGATGGAGATCGCGTTCGGCCAGTTTACGACCTCTTCCTTGCTCCAACCTGAAGCGTTAACTCCTTTGGTGTCAACGGGAGGACTGGGACTACATTCACTCTCAGAGTTCTGACTCTGCTCTGTACGTCCACTAGTTCCGAACATCTGCCCCGATCCATCTGCCTCCTCCACTCGTCGTTCTGTGGAGAGTGGACTGCTCGCAAGTGAAAAAACGTTGCTGAGAACGATTTTCCCCGGCACAGCAACATAAGAAACGGGCCAGCTCCTTGCAGAACAGGACAAGAAATGACGCAGGGGAATAGATGAAGAGTTCTTGGGTGAAGTATCTTTCACCCGCTCCTGAGGCCTTTGAGGACCTAGAAATCCAGGTTCACATTGGTGAAGGGACGCCAATGGGCGAACCCTTGCTGCATTTTGAGAAAGTGATGAGTAGAGGCGCCACGCAGCCCAATGCGCGCGTTTAGAAATCCTCATGATCCTTAATATATTGCATCAACTAGGAGGAGGTACTAATCAGAATGCACAACAGAAAACCATATAATTTCTGAACGTCTAAGGATTGGTACTCTTCTACCATACTCGCTGAAACGAACGGTTAGTGAAACCAAGTTGCACTCGGTGCACTTCCAAAACGCTATCAGTCTCCCAACTTCAAATTGCATTCTCCAGCTTATTCAAAAAAACATAAAAGCTTGAAGCCACTTTAATTACTCTTTAAACCTATTTCATCATCTCCAGGAATTCTGAAAACAACTTTGAGCTCAAAAACCTGCATCACTGAAGCTACGCAGCTTCCATTTACTAAACCCTACACCCAACAGACTCAAAACAGGGGCGGAACGACAACATCCCTCACACGGCCGTGCACACGTTTCAAAAACGGAAACCAATAGAGGGAAAAGAATCCAATGACTCCACGTTCACAAAAAAAACCACGATCCGAGCGTACAGACTTCAACTCTTCCCCCCATTCAAACAATTGCGGCGCTAGCTAAAAGACAGCATTCACTACTAATCCGTCGTAGTACTCTTCCCATCCCCGCCCACCTCTCCCATCGCGTCTCGTCATGGCTCGGAGACGCGCGCTGAATCTATCCAGATTCGCAAGCAATTCTGGGTCATCTCGATTCCGCACGCAGATGTCGCAGAATCTGCAAGAGCGACGTCAAAATGCGGCGACACAGGGCGAGGACTAGGTCAGGCTTTCGTTTAAGAATCGGTGTGTTGGGTAAAAGAGGAGGCTAGACTGGTACTTTCTAAAAATGACTCCTGTTTAACCATCTGGCGAACGAGATGGCAAGTGCCGATTCGGTGAAGCCTGGTGCGGATGTGTAGGTACAGAATCAAAAGTCTGCAGTTTGGATAATTTGTGGATAGTGCTACCATTTCCTGGGATCCTTGTGGGCAACGGCATTCATTGGAAATAAGTTACGCACTGTAGCAAGGAACCATCCAGGCGGGATACTGTAACTAATAGCATCTTGGAGCTATCGTGGGACGCGCATGCAAATCAGGTGAATGGTGTTACGATATTTTTCTCTTGTGGATACTTCATGAGTAACAGTGTCCACTGTCAACCCATGTTGGTGTGATTTGATATCATCAACAGTGTCGGAATGGCAAATAAATATATATCAGAGAAAAAGAAAAAAAACAAAGATCAATGCATTGATACTTTCGCTACAGAATGCACAGGTTGTAATGCATTTACGTGTTGAATTCTGATGAGCGGGGAAACAGGCAATGACGATGACTAAAAAATAGTGCAAATCTTACACAAGTAGGCAGCGAGAGAGAACAATAATGAAAAGAACGTAATCAAACTAGTGAGTAATCCCGACACATTCAAGGAAAAACTATAGCGGTATATTTGATTTCAAAACGACTTACGTCCAGAAACACAGTTCATTTCGTCAAATTGGAAGGGTCATAAGCCCTAAAAGGATATGAAAACCTCAAAAGCAGCCAAGCCGCGATTATACGGATATGGCTAACCGGCAGACCAGAATTCAATGCACCTCAGCCTTGTGCCTTTGCTGGCAAGGCGCTGTGGATTGATTGTTACATTCAACGTTCCGTTGGCTATAACCCCTTTGGCAGGAGGGACAAGCCGCCACCAAGCTGTTGTCTCTCTGCCCACTGATTTCGTAGTTTACAACCTGGCATCTGAGCAGCATATGGCAGAGAAATGAATTCGTAGCTATTTACATAAGAATTAGTCTACAGAACCACAGACGCCCTTCCTTTCCAGAATGAATTACACCCAACGCCAGCCAGGATGAATCACATCTGTAAGCACCATATCTACACCTCACTCAACACAACTCAACTCTAATTCCGCATCAAATCAAAACCTCGAATTCTTTTTGTTCTCCCTCACACCACACCAATCGCATTGCTACTTGAGTTGATGCTGCTTGTGCTGACATGGAACGCAGACGAGCTCCTCGATGGTTGATCCAAGAGCTTCAGAGTAAGTTGAGAGGGTTCAGGAGTAGATAGTCCCAAGTTTAATTGCGACATGTCCTTCGTCTCATCGACGCCAACATTCAGAGGTTCTGTTGACAACTTCGCTGTGGGCCTTAACACCTTAGAATCCGCAGAGTTTACGGGCCGGTTGTATCCCCGTGGCAGCATTGAAAACATGGGGAAGGGATAGGGAATACCCATTGCACCGCTAGGTCCGGAGACAGGAATGCCCATTGGTCTCATTGCGCGAGCTGCATCTCCATTGAAGTTCACGGCAGATGTCTCAGGTATCTGTTCCGAAGCCCCCAACGCGACAGGTCCCATGGACATAATGGGTACAGCCAAGGAGGTTGGAGGCAGCATAAAAGGTCTAATAAATCCATGTGAACTGTTAGGATCATAGAATACCCCCGGGTACGTAGAATTTGGTCCTAAGCTTAGCTGATGCAGAGGGGCTGACATATCAGGAACAGCCTTGGTTGTTGGCTCCTCCAATATCGGGGTAGGACCCTGCACAGTCCAAAGAGAGAATTTTGACATTGTCATACAAATAAATAAAATCAATCCAAGAACTTAGTCTAAGGTTACAAGATGCTTCTTAGACCTTTTAAGAACTAAAGAATACATACCAGATCCCGAAGTGAGGCATAGCACGAACCAATTTACTTAGTTCGTCACTCACGGTCCACGATAACTTGAAATTTGAAGACATACCGTTTCAGAAACAATGTCGAAAAGACTCGATCGCCTCTTTCGCTTGTTTATGTTACTTTGTCTGATAAAATACTTCTGCGCATGACTGGCCACCTGGGTTGGTGTCCTGGTTTGCACAAAATTTCTTGATATACCCCTCCAATCTCCCTTGCCAAGCTTCTGAAGCCCTAGCAAAAATAATCTGTGTTCCTCTTCCGTCCAAGGTACACCTGAAGTCAGCAAAGTCAAGCTTAATCACTACCAACATTAAAAAAGAGGCGTCAAAGAAGAAATTGAGCCCGAATTTGTCGAACTCCTCCCTGATCCCTCCAGATATGCTCTAGAATCACAAGACTTCAATTATGATTTAGACCGAAGAGACAACGGTTCCTTGAAGAATATTTCGTACTCGGGCGTAAAGTTCAGATGATATGATCCTCACACGCTGTCATAACATACCAACATTACTCTTTCGATCATTGAGTATCCCATCTTCTTCAGTCAACATTGTTAAATTGAAAGACCATTAGAAACTTCATAGTCATTAGAAAGATTGAAATTTCATACAAAAAGTTGACACTTAAACGCTGAATCTACCTTAAACTTACAACACGAAGCCCTCTGTGTTCATCTACGCATACTTAATTGTCATGACTACAAAGCACATGAAGCGGCATCCATTGATCATAATAGATTAAGAGAAAGCCAATAGAAAAGAAACACTGACCTTTCTTTCTTTCCCTGGTGTTGTTTGATGTCTGTACGAGACCATCTGAAACGTAGCCATCGCCACCTGCTCCAGACTCGGAATGACTAGGTGGAGAAGAAGGATTATTGGGGCTGGCGTAGTGGCTTAGGTTACCCATACTCACACTCTTCCTCATCACCCCATCTGTGAGCCTAACACCAAACAGCCTCACGCCTCGATCAGGGCATGTCCTTGAATTATGACCGTTATGACCACAGTGGGAGCACCCGCGAGCCATCTCAGTCTCTAGGGAGGCCAGCTTGCTAAAAGAAATCGCTCGCTTCCTATGCGTCAGGAATCACAGGCCTGACGTAACACTGAAATGTTTTGACAAACAGAAAGGGAGGGAAGTTGAGAAATCAACCAGATTTAAAAGAAAAGAGACGAGGGATGGAGGGGGGATAAAAGCAAAGAAAACAAGTCCAAGAAAATTACTCGCCGCCCTACAGAAGCCCCACTGAGCACCCAAATCTTAAACTCAAGGAGAGAGTCGATCGGGGATCGGGGATTGGGAAGCTCCGAAATAGAAACTAAAAGACCTGAGAAGTAGGTGAACTTCGAAGGTGGAATAGAAGAAAAGGTGAACCAAAACAAAGCAAGCTGCTAAGTAGCGATCCCAAAGCCGAGAACCACAGGGCTGCTACAGACCCCCGAGACGGAACTGGAAAAATGCTTCAAGAAGAGGGAATGAGAGAATATGGACCACGTCAACGCTGAAGCAACGCCTGGAAATGAGACTCTCTTTCTTTCTTACTAAGTTCCAACACAACGACTTCCGTAGGAAACTTTCTCAGATCGCCGATCAACCAAGCGATCGTGCGATCCCACAATTTCTAAAGCGTACTACCTTAGGTGAGGCTACGGCCAGCACGAGCGAGCAGCGAGACTATGCAAAGCAAGCTGCCGGCGGCTTCTTCTCCAGTATGGGAAAAAATAAATAAAATAGGAGCACGCGGATCAAAACAACCCCCTCACGACCACTCCCTTCACGCCCACCTTCCACACTCAAGGACTACGAAGCACTCCAAAAATAAAAAATAAATAAAAAGTATGCACATATACTCTGAAAGCAAACCACAGTTAATACTCCGCGAATAAATTACACCCGACTGCGCATGTACAACAATCAGGCACTCACTCACGCCGCACAACCAAGTTGCAACAACAACAACAACAACAACCATGAACTAAGCCCGAAAATGTTTAAATATAAAAACACCGGACCCTAGCGAGAAAACAAGCTGCGAGAGGCGGCGATCGGCGACTTACAGAAACGACAGTGAAAGCTGCGGCAATGCTCCACTACGCTGCCGATACACTGAGTGCACAATCCAGACGTCGGCGAGTCCCGAGAGAAGTTGGCAGCAGCCGCCGCGAGACCGAGTTTGTGTGTGTGTGCGATTGTGTGTGCTTGGCTGTTTCCTTGGGCGTTGCTACCGCCGGCCTCTGTAGACGCGGGTTATTCCTGATGCAATGAAGGAAAGGAAATCAAAAAGCTACTACAGAGGGATCTGCGGAAAAGCTGTCTGCAATAGCCTCAAGGCGGGTTGCTCCTCTTTCTTGCTGGCTATGGCGGTGGATGATTGACATCCCATTTGATGGTAACTTGTGGATGTGCTATGTCATTTGGCATCACGGGTGTGGGGCTCATCGGGACCTTCGTTCTCATCCGCCCCCCACGTGGGAGGTCGAAGAGCATGGTTCCATTCCTCCAAAGGAACATTCTATTTATATCCCATGCTAAATTAGGTTTCTCGTTTCGACTCTCCACCCTTGGACTCCTCAGATGGTTTCCTATTGGATTTTCTCATAACCGCTCTTGAGGGTGGATCCTGTCCCTGTTCCCACTACTGCGACTTTTACTTTCCGGATAATTCAATAGCTCCTTGTTAAAGTAGGGGATTTGTAATATTATACACCACTGTGTTGTGTACGCGTATATTTATGTCACGTATGTCCACCTTGTTCCCTATGTTGTTCCCCAAAATTTGAGGCCCCCACTGCAGTTTAGAAAAAAAAAAAAAAAAAAAAAAAAACGAAATTTGAACCCCCGACATTGTTCACAATGGTTGGCCTTAAAAAAAGGAATTAAGGGTGGGACCACGCCTTATAGATTCCACTGAAAGTGCCAAACCACTTGGCAAAATGAACTCGTTCATGAATGTGCGCGGGGACGGGTCACCTAGGATTGACTGGTCCCCAATCCCGCTCTCTTTCCACTCAAGTCCGAGTCAATAAAACGGCTATGCAAACGTGCCACACTCTTGTACTCTATCCCACACACACATATACTCTCACACATTCATCTCCAGACTTCTCTGATTACTCAGTTTACAGGGATACCGTCCGTTCTATAAATGGCAGGGATCCTCATTCAGTGGGGGGCGGGGTCTCTAACCAGTGTCAGCCCAGGAAACTTCCCCTGTGCCCACATTCATAATCTGCGCTCTCTTTTCCTCCATCTGGCGCTCTGTAGATGATGCACCGCCGGTTAGTAATTAGCGTGTCCGTTTTGTGTTCTGGGAATGTGGGTTTTTTTTTTTTTTTTTTTTTTTTTTTCCCATCTGGACAAGACTGGCCTTCGTTTGGACGAGAGCCACTAGTTCTATTGGCTTCCTCTTGAACGAGAGTGGCGCTTGATTTTGGGGGGGGCTTTGACACGATCATCCAAGTGGTGGACAATTTCCAGAGGCACTATTCATGGAAGGGGAGAGACTATTCCACCTATTTGCCTTCATCCTTTGTAAGGAGGGCCATGTGCCACCCTGCCTCAGTTGCCTACAAGCCATCGAGCCCCTGGTTCTACAACTCCTCTCTCATGGGAATTTTTGGATGAAATGAAGCGGCTCTCTCTCTCTCCTTCGAAATTCATCCATTCCCTCCAAGAATGTGTGCCCATTGAACCCACTGGATGCTGGTAGAACCTCCAACTTGCTCTGGATGAATGTATCATCATCCGATGTCTCGAATGTTCGTACATCCGTTCGTGCGATCCTCATTCAATGTTGCAAATATCCATTTGTGCCCATGTAGCCCCAACAAACAGCTTGGAAGGTGCTACATTGCCATTGTTAGTGTAACTCTCGTTACATGTATGAAGTAGAGTATGTAAACTTTTTCTTTTTCTTTTTCTTTTTCACGTGTCATTTACATGTGATTTAGAACAAAATACTCGAGAAATTTTCAAGTACATATGAAAGTCTCGTGTACTCCTCAAATATAATTGAAAATTTAACCACTTGAGGCTTCAACATGTTTAGAATACTCTTTATTGGAATATCAATGAGATTGAAAGTTCATAGACACTTTGATGCAGTGGTTATATTTGAAATATAAAGCAAGAAATATGTGTTATTGAATTAGGTTTCAAATCGTACACTACATAATTTATTGTAGAAACCTTAAATATTATACTTTTGACAAAACACATAATATAACTGCATATTTTAAAATTATTGGTGTTGTGTAAATTTGAGAATAAAATAATGGAACGTATTACAAACTTGCCATGAAATAAAGGTATGAATAAAATAAAAGAATAAAAAGAAGGAAACCTTTGTTTGAAATGACTTCAAAAAAAAAGGAAAAAAAGGAGGTTACTAAAAACGTAATAAAAAATTAATTGTTTTGAGAATTATATTTGTAAAAAATACATACAAATATACCCCTAAGAGGTGAAAAACTTAAATTTTAATGAATAATTTACACAATTTCAAAAAATTCTATCAAGGTTTTCAAACATATAAGTATATAAATATATAATTTATGGTAAGTATATTAATAGCAACTTAATTTAATGTGAAAATGTTCAAAAAATTAACAGCCCTTCTGTTTTTATAATTAACCTACTGGTACAAATCAAAACTAATTGTTTAAGCATGTATGATGGTGGATACTTTTTTAATGAGATGTGTAGTTTTAAACAATTCGAAATCATATTAATGAATACACTTTAAAAATAAAATAAAAATAAAGTTATAAACGAGTCATAAAAATAACGACCCTGTAACGTTTGAAGTGATACATTCAATTTTTTCTTGTGACAGAATTGAATGAAATGTGTTTGTATGAACTTACACATGAATGAGTGCACATGATAATTGATAAATCGTATCTTTAAAATAAAAAATATATATTTACTTGATGCACAATGTATTTGATGAGCGATCTGGGCTCAGCCCAGCTTCGTGGACTAATAACGTGGTTGTGGGTATTTACTATTCATAATTCATTGTGTATTATATCTACCTCAATGTTTGGGATGTATTTTATTATCATAAAAAACTTAAATTATTTAATAAACATTGAAAGTTATAATTTAATATATATATATATATATATTTACACACACACATTTGGTTAAATCCGAAGATAATATACAATAAATATCTGGAATTCCTGGAGTGGGGAGAGGGAAAGGCAAGGTTTGGACGACGATCCAAGCACGGCATTAATGATACAAACGCAGGGGCAGAGCGCGGCTCAGATAAGTTTAGCCCTCGAAACTGGGCTGAGACCGGATCGCTCGCTCGCTCGTGTCGTGTCAGACAGAGCGTGCCCCAGAAGTAAAAACCATCGCAGTAAAGCGAAGTCCGATCAGCGGCTCACAATCATATTGCCGCGGAGCTGAAAGTACTGGTATACCGGAGCCATCAAATGCGTTGGCGCTGAAGGCGGAGAGTGAGCTGGGATGGAGATCGAAGGAGGGCGAGGCACGGAGATGTGCGACGAGTGGGTTCGAGCCCACGATCTATAATTGATCGATTGAAGTGTAATGCTGGGCACTGCGAGGAAGGATCACGGCGAACGCATAAGGACCCTGTTGTGAGAAACGGAGGGAAGCGTGGGCACGTAAGCGCACGGTCATTGGGTGCATGACTTTCTGAGATTCCAAGAAGCCGCGGCGGGAACGCAGCTGATTGGAGCAACTCCTTCCTTACGGGAGGGGGTGACCCGGCCTGGCCCCCCGCTGTCGTTGCTTCGTTGTGCTCGCGGGCTGTCGACGCAACCGCCAGCAACAGGCGCTGACACCATGGATCGATCGATCGTTCGATCGATCGAGCATTCTGACGTCCTCTGCCATCATGTGTCTCAATTGCTCATGTCACATAGTCGTGTTGATTGCACGAGAACATGCAGACAGATTACTTCCCCAGTGGCCTGGGCACTTGGTTCTCGTTCATCCCGAAGCGAGAGACCTGGATCGGCGCTGGCGTTTTGCTCTGGGTCCATAACTGATTCTTTGTACTGATCCTCTGATCTGGTGCACGATGGTCACGGAGGAACGGGCTGAGCGCGAGAGCGTCTCAGTCGGACGTTTCCTCGTTAATAGATCTGGATTCTATCGGTGGGGTGTGAGCATATCTCATCGCGGTTGGTTTCGCTTGATGCAAGTGCAATCGACGATGGAGCAAAGCCGGAAGGAGTGTGTGGGGGAGGACCGACATTGGGAGCAATTCACGGTCGCGGTGGACGATAGTGCCGGTTTTTCTCTTTGGAGATGGGTGCAGAATCGGGCCTCTGACCCAGGTGGATTTGTATCCGATAAGCACAACGGGAATAGGGAGCAGAGGTGCAAGGGTCCTCCAAAATTGGGGTGTTGCCTGGAAGGGGAGGATGGGAGCCAATGCTGTGCGGAGTGTTTGGTGCCCAGTCAGATTTGCAGCGCGCAGGAGGGCGGAAATGGGCTACCTCCGACTCTAAGGGATTTGCACGGAGGGGCGCAGTCTTGGGCTTATATGCAGTCGCAGTGGAGGGTGGAGAGCGATTCGAGGCGGGACCCCTTGGGGTTCCCTTGCTAAATGTTACCTCGGCCGTGGGCATTTGTGCTTGCTCCGAATCAAGCAGGATCGATGCACCAGCGAAGATGTTTCCATCGATGGTCGAAACGACGACTGATCCAATTCCCATGTGGAAACTGACGCCTCGTGCTGTTCGTCGTTGGGTGTATTATGTAGCATCTTCCACCTGATCCATAAAAATCAAACAATAAAAATATAAACCAGGAACATAATCCATCTCTTGATCCATCTAAGGTATACCGCACACGGCAAACCGTCACGGAACTACTTCTTGTGCACTCACTATAGAAGCCAGCCCAATATCCAGG